ATTTTTCACTAGTGTTTTTCACATCACGGGTGAAACTCTATTGATAATACATCAATAAGTATTAAAATTGATATCATTGCATATCATCACGAATATCGCGTTTTTCACCGAGTTTTACGCCACTCCACGTAAAATGGGTGAAACTCCATTATATCAATACATGATGTCAATTTTTCTATGCATATCAAGTAAGTATGCTGTGAATCGTCACGTGTTGAATCCTATTATCCGGATATTTCAATTTGGATTTCTGCGGAATTGTTTGATTTCGTTACGATGAACAGTTTGTGGATGGTCAAATGAACACAGAGCAACTGAGCGGGATGGGTTAACACTACGTATGTTATGCATATTCCTTATAAAACTCGTCTTAGTAGTGTATGGTGTAGCAACACATCTATAGTGGGTGAGCGCAAAATAGAAGTCGTCAGTATTCCACTATCCTGGAACATCTAATTGTTGATGGATTAGGACGGACATGGACAGTTTCTCAGCAAAATCGAAGATTTGAAAGCTCGTATTGCGAATACAACCGCGATGGGGTTGCCAGCTGATCTGTTGGAATTGAAACAACTGGAGAAAACTAAAGCAGCATACAGGTCGATCGTTAGGCCAGCGAGTAAGTCTTCAAGTGTGGACATATGATGCATAATCAGCTACATGTATTGATGACGATGAGAAAATTCCCGCATGCTTTCACTTGAAATTGTGTGTGAAATTTCGAATTGCAGCTTTTTGATCTCAGCTGAGGATAGCAAGCATATATTCCAAGCAATATTTTGCGTCTTATTGGTGATGATTAGGTGCAAATGAGAGGGCGATCCAGATCACTGTTATGCAGAAGTAAACTGTCGTTGTAGCTTTGGAGGATTGCTGTTGGTTTTGGTTTCGGGTGAAAAATGTGAATGAATTTTTCCGTTTTTTTCTGTCAGAGAAATGATACCCCGGCCGGTACGATTGTGCGCTGTGGGGTATATGCAATCAATCCGTGTTAAAAAGTTGAGGGAAATATCAGCGCAATACTTGGAGGATATAAAACAGTTTAAAAGAGACCTCAAGATTTGGAAAGATATCGATGATGCAGTGAGGATGATAAGTCCAACTCAAGGTGAGGCTTTGTTAAGGTTTACCTGAGGTCCGCTTATGGACTTCCCCGTGATTGACGAAGTTTTCTGACTATAGTTGTGAAAGCCATATTGCTTATTATGTTTTTGAACTCTCCATTTGTTGTTGTTCTTGTTGTTGTTGATGCTGATGATGATGATGATTATTATTATGATTATGATGAATAGGTTAATACGTTTGAGTCTCGAAGTTTGAGGTTGCGCCAGGATTCGAATTCTGCACGCATGCACAAGATATCTCTGATGTGCGATTTGAATGCATGCTGAGATACACACATTCCGAGGCCGCCGTGTCCGTCCGTTCCTCGAACCATCGCTACTGTGCCGGATAGCGTTATAGAGGAAGTGATAAGACGACTTCATGATGAGGTGGGTTTAATAAAGGGAACTTATGGTGGAGGTGGCGAGTGACAGGTTGGGGGAGGGGATCCTGAAGGAGAATCGAAGAGACAGAAGCTGATGGTTGATTTTCAGGATAGTTCGACGAGGTGCGGTATGTTATTGATTGGTTTTTCTGTCCTGACTGTGAAGTATCTGTTTAATTGCAGGATCTGTAGAGTCTACAGTGTAGACTATAGATTGTGGTAGTGTGATAAGTTCGTATTGTTATAGTGATAACATTGAAGTTTCACCCATTTTACGTGAAGTAGGGCAATACTCTGTGAGGAAACCCGATGTTCGCTGTGGGATATGTTTTTCATTAGTGTTTTCCATATCACGGGTAAATCTCTATTATAATATTGATAGGGATGTGACGTACTTCGAGTAAGCCTGTTGTTGATCTTGTTCAGGGGTGGTGACTCGCTTTGGGAGGAAGCACGACAGAGCCCTTCAGGCCGATTCTATGGACTGCATCCAAAGCTCGACAAGTGAGACCAGACGAACTAAGTGAACTTGTTATGGATTTGAAAGAGAGTCGTCTGCATACACGCTTTACGGGAGATCTTCTCCTGTCGGAACTGTTCATCAGCATATTCTAATCACTGTCCCGGTTTTTCCTCAACTGAGAATTATTTTATTCCGCGCTATTGTATTCTCGAGCAGAACGATTATATCGATAGTGGAGGAGGCGATTGGTGGGTCGAAAAATGCCGATTGGATTGTTGTTGATGATGAAGCTTTGGGGTCACATGATTCAACCTGATCTTCCAGGATGTCATCTCTTTGTGCCGCGTTTATTGTGTCAATCTGTATGAACTTGTTTCTTTAGAGTTATCATAGCTATAGTGTTATAAAAGCTTTATTATTTCATGTTATAAGAGTAATGTGGACATTGAGTATAATTATACCAATGAGAATCTGATTATTATCATCAGACTTTGATGATAACCTTAGAAAACAATCATAATCATTATGTTAGATTCTGTTCTCTGTATGGGAAGATATGAAATAAGAATAGACTATCAGTTAGTTCACAAAGTATCCCCAGTTCGGCATTTTTAGCTGATATTATGTATTTCATGGCGACTGAATTCGACATTGTTAAAGATCAGACTGTTGAACAGAAGTCGACGACAGGTGATGAAGTGGATCTGAACATGTAAGGGCAGAGACGTGGGTTTCATGTGCATTTTTATGTTTAATACGCACACTAAAATCCATACGTGATTTATGGTAGAACTTGAAGGCGCGTATAAAATTTACGATTAACTTCCCCAATTTGCCTCATGATCTGGGTAGTGTCATCAACACCCGTAGTTGACATAAGTGACATAATCTGTATTAAATAAGGTTGATGGAAATTGAATGCGCGCGTGATTCGTATATCAGTAGAATACATACGACGCCAGGCTGCGATAGTCGTTGTACTCCGACTCGCAGTGACAGTCATTCAACACTCACCGAGTGTCACTCAGTGACTGGCTCAGTCGGGCTGGGTTAATGAGCGATTCACTGTAGCATCGGATGTTATTGGTGATATTTTGTTTCTCCCTTCATCACGTATGAGACACGACAGAAAGTTTAGACCCGATTTTGGTGTGAACTCGGCACGAGCGAGTGACTTACGTGGACGGGAAAATTTTCAAGAGATGCTGGTCACACCACCCTGGTCCCATCGTCGGCCAACAAGCTTATATGACCGACCTCAATGAGATCATCTTAGCTCTGACTTGTTCTCGTTCAAGCTCTGTACCAAAATTACTAGTTTTGGATTTGTGAAGATGATTTCATTACCGACTACTCAATCACTTTGAGAGCCGGGCAATGGGATGCGTTCAAGATATCAGCACTTACTGCTCGACTGCTCTGATGCTGTGCCAACCTACTGAGCCGCTGCCCTTGGTGGGTGCAAGCGCTCGAATGATTGTCCTGTAACCAGTCCAAGTTTTTGCTATATATTCGAGGAGGAGGTTTCGAATGGCGCCGTCAATTCCGCATCTGACCGTCCTCATATTGGACCACGGTCTCACGAGCAGTCGTTCGAGTGCGTTGGATTGTATTCAAGCCGAGCTAGTCTTCTCGCAGGACCATATTTACGTTGCCGCTTCGAGGGTCGGCGATCCTGGAGACATGTGATTGGTGATCAACCAAAACTGCCTATGAATGTCACTTCTATCGTATGGCACAGGGTTTCACTCTAATGAGCTACTAGCTTAGAGCTACAGCATCCCATGTCGCTCAGCATCTGAGATAAACAGATATGTTCAATTTGTATTGTTCTCTTCAAGTCGTTATGCTCTCATGCGCACGTTATGGATGAGAAGATTACCTGTAGTCATCTGACTCAAGAAGATATCTAACTAATTTTGTGAGAACCAACATGATTGATGAGAACATCATGCCACTTTACTGATCGCACATCAGCAGGAGGCTGTTATTGAAGCCCTGGGGAGGGGCTGAGGAGCAGCCGTGGTCTTCACGACCTAGTACGCCATACGCCATTCACAATTCTGATCAGCTGAGTTGCATTCCATCCACGCACGATTTGAAGTAACGTGTTGAGTTGAAATCATGGTCTGGCGTGAAAGTTAGATGCATTGGATCATTTATCATTCTGTATCTCTTGTACTTTCAAAGTGCATTGGATCACATTCTGGTTGACCAACACCTTCGGATCCATATAACTTTTCTAGAACAAAAGTGGTCTCGAATTTCTCATCGAGTATCATATGACAGACCAGAAGGTAAGCTGGTCGGTGGTGTCATCGACGTGGTGTTCACTTCTGGTACGCTCTAGTTGCTAAGCTCATCGAATCACTATTCAGGTCGATGTGTTCCAGCTCCCGCTCAAGCCTTTGCTATGCCGCCAAGACTCGACGACCATTTTAGATCACCAACGTTTTCCAAATGGCAGGTTGTCGGCATTCGAGAGGAACCCTACCCCCACATGATTAGGATAAAATGGAGCAACTCATCCAAAGTCTCGCGAGGCACCATGACTGAGGTCGTTTGTGACTCACTGTGAGTCACAAACGTGGGAATTTGCTAATAGCAACTTCCCTTTTTTCCTTTGGTCCCTGTTGAGTCACTCACATGTCATGTGAGTCAATCTCACAAACTGTGAGACTGACGGAGATGACCGTGGTGGGACAGTCGAATTCTGATTGACCTATGGCATCGCCTTGTATCGGGCGAGGACAATTACTCGGATGTTAACTGTGTAGAAGTAGTACATAGAAGTGATTGATTCGAGGTTCGTCGACGATGAATGCAAATATCAGTCTTCATCTCAATAGATTATTTGCTTCGTCTCGTTGGTTTCCCGAGAGGCTCCACATCAACTATCTTCGTAGGCACGGCTCGTGTACGTTTCCAGATGGTCGCATTCGGATGGAGTAGCGTCCGATTGTGTATGTATACGGAGCGCAAAGGGCTGTTGAGTATCCATCCGTGAGGAACTTCCTAAACGTTGAAGTGTAACATCACTGATGGTGTAGTGTTAGAGTATTCGAAGAGTTGTTCTGCAGCTCGATTCAGGATGAGGAGTTCATTTCGTTCGAGGCATTAGTTGGTCGTCAGAGACAGACCTCATATCAGATCAGAGAGTTGCAAGCGGTGGAAGATCTGAGAGCTATGAAGCTGCTGATTGTCAAGTACTTGCTCGCGTAGGACTCGGGTTCGAATCCTGGCTGTCTCTCAAAGCATGGGAATGTGGCGGCCACACTGACAAGACGCTCATATACGTAGTTCATATAGTTACTTTGTAGTTTAGGAAATCTCTATGGTGACTGTTCATCAAGTTGAATACACGACTGGGACTTGACGAACTTCGGATGCTCATTGAGGTGTTGGCAATCTTCATATTGTGGAGTCTAAAGTCTGGACGGCGAGCCTTATTCGGTCAGCGGAGGGTTGTGCGGAATACCTCTTCTCGCGCAACTTGTTTATATTTCTGATATTCTCAGGGATATTGTAGGTGGCCGCGAAGTGACGAGTGGTATAGAAGCCTGTCCATGATTGGGTTATAGGTCTCATAGGGAAATGTGAATGATCGTTGCTGTTGCGATTTCGATTACTGATCGACACCGTATTCCTCGTTGGTACAGTCTGCGTTGGTTGCGCATCAGAAGGAGGTTACAATAATTTTGGGAGTGATTCGGTCATTGTTTTACCGTCTCAGGATGAGTATGGGTTTAGTGATCCGGTGAAGACGGGGTTGTTAACCTAGCGGATTAGGTGGGATCTGCCAGAGTCGGTTATCACTTGGCCCTGTGGCGCAACGGTAGCGCATCTGACTCCAGATCAGAAGGTTGTCCGTTCGAATCGGGCCGGGGTCATTATTTCGCGCATCAATCTGTATTTGCGTTCACCCTTGCAGACATTCCTTCGGTAACCTATGAACCTCATCGATAACCTTCGATACTTTTATGTGTCCTACAGATCATTACTTCAACTTCACATAAGTATGACTATCAGACATTCAATTCGATAATAATCATTGAAAACCCGACCTTACAGTTGAGCGTCTTGGTCGAGGCTTGAGCCACTCGAAGAGATTCTTCTTCCCTGCTGTTGAATGACTCCTTATGCGTTGGACCTATATGAAAATTCTGAGGAAATCTTGGGAGGTTTTGATTGGTTTCTGTACACTTTCACGCGAATTCTTGAGTAAACTCATGAGCTCAGCTGAGGAAAGAGAACATATATTCGAAGTTGCTGTCGAAGTTGGAAATTGTTGTGACGAGGTCGAGCTCGATATCACATAACTGTTTTGCTATTCGATAGATGCTTTCTTCCTTTATCACTACGCATGCCGTTGACATTAATGGTCTCCTCTCATGTGAAATGAATGCCTTGTGTTCTCTCAGCTCCTCATAGAGTAACCGTTGCGCAGATTCGTTATCCTATGATTCGATTCATACTACTACTATTTCAGGTAACACGTGCGATATCATTATCGAGGTGAGGCTTCCCTTGTCAGTCCTATTCTTGAGGAAAGCCGTCAAAATTGACTTAACCCTTGGATGAATTTCGACGTCAAACAACTTAACTCCACCGGCTCGTTGAAATATGTTTTTCACTAGTGTTTTTCATATCACGGGTGAAACTCCACTGCATATAACTTTTCATCATGCAGAAATATGCATGTTAGAGTTTGACCTGTGAAAAGGCGGCTGGTGCACGCTAGAATTCACCATTAGAACTACGTGATGGTGCAGGTCATTTTTGAGCTTGCTTTATTTTTTTTCAGTCCGGACGATATTACTTCTGGAATTATGAGGAGTGTTGTCTCCTCCTCGTCACCATCATCTGAGGACGTTAGCAGTGCGACTTTAGCCCAACTCGAAGCTAGAAGAGTGAATGAATTAATTAAAACTACTGAGGTTGGTGGTCATTTACTCACTGACATCAGTTGTATTCAGTCAACTGAAGATATGCCGCAAGAATCTGTGAGCTCATTTTCGGTGGACGCTAAACATGATGTGAGTTCCCAGGAAGTGTTTTGGAAATATTGTGATTTCACTTCGATATTGCAGTTTAAAATTTGAGAGAAATTTGTTCCGTACATTCCGTTGTATTTGAGAGCGTTTCCCAGTGTTGGGGGGATGTGTTCGCTTTCTTCAGCTCAGCTCAAGCGTTTCCAAAGCTAATTATATGGGTTCACATAAAGATTCGGGTAGAATTTAAAAAAATTTCTCGAAATTTCGTCCGATTTTCCGTATTCACCCGTTTCACGTGGAGTGGCGTAAAACTCGGTGAAAAACGTGATATGTAGTAGTCGTGAAATATGTTTATACTAGTGTTTTCCATATCACTAGGGCTGCCCGTGAAACTACAGTGTCACAGTTTCATCGTGTTGCGGCTACTTAATATTGCATTACTTGTGATAATGTGATGTTCGGTCGTCGCAGATTGATGCAAGGGAAAGCAAAATGGTGGAATCCTTCCGCCGATTTGAAAAAGATGCTGAGAAAACAATAGAAGCGATCCTGTCACTTGAGCCGACTGAAACCCCTGCTGTTGTTGAGGAAGAGAAGAGCAGTAGCAGCAGCAATTCTGTTGGGGACTTACCTCAGGTGAGCTCCTGTTATTGATCGTATATGGTGTGAACCAAACCGTTATGTAAAGTAGTGTTTTCAACAACGCCTTCAATTTTTGAGTGATATCAAAATGATAACAATGCGAATCGGTTGACACCAACTTTAGCGTTCTGTAATCTTGAATTGAAGAAAACCATCTCCAAAATCTAGATATGCATAACTGCTTGCTTCTACTCGGCGTGGGTATACCGCGAAAATTGAATGAGAAAATTTTCAAGTAATTATGGCAAGATAAATAAGTTATTTTCGGAAATTTTTTTGTGAAAACTGTGAGAAGAGTTGATAATGGTGAATATTATGAAACGAATTACAGCGTTGATAAAGTGATCTAGTGTGGAAAATATGCACATGGTCAACTACATGTGTTGGTGATAATATGGAAATTCTGAGGAAATTTTGGGGAATAATTACTGGTTTCTGTACATTTCTACCGTAGTTCTATAACTATTGAGAAACCCCATGAGCTCAGCTGAGGAAAGCGAATATATGCTCTTCCAACACTGAAGAATCATGGTCGTTGAAATGTTCATTAAAAGCTTAAGCGATATCAAATTGTTGATTTTTTGAGGTCCAAGAGGAAAGCTCGAAAAAAGGGCGTCGGCCCAGTAGACGGTATATAACCTTTCTGCGGACACTTAATGATCATGATGATGAGATTGAGGAACGCAATGAGAAGGGCAGTCTTGTTACGGTGAGTGCCTTTGCTGTGCAAGAACGGAGGAAGCGTATTAGAGCAATATGATCATGTTTAGAGAGTTTATATGCAAGGTTTCAGGTTGATATGTGTAGTAGTTAGGCAGTTGTGACTGCCAAACGAAATTGGGTCTTTAGATTGCGCCTAGTGTAGCTTGTGTTGTTGTTGTTGTTGTTGTTGTTGTTGTTGTTGTTATTGTTGGTTTGGAGTCCGATGCCCATGCACAGTAGCTTGTGTGTTAATTTCGGATGTATCAAGATTAATTCGTCTCAATAACATCAAAAGTCGTTGAAGATTTCCAACAGCTTCTCGAGCTTATCGAAATATTGTTTTTCCTGTTTTGATTCAGCGTCAGGAGCTGTACACCGTAGCTCTGTCGACTCTGGTCGTGATGTTCCTCATGTCCATCGGAGTTGTATATTTCGTGCAATCAGAAGGGGAGAAAATGAATACTCAATTGTAGGCCACCCAAACACACCCTATGTTGTTGTATAAGTCTACCACAGATATGATGCATTTGCTTGCCATAATGCTTCATTGGAAAGAGCATGTGACTATAGCGCAACGCTGATGCAGAACCCGGGTTATCATCCCGTGTATGCGACAACAGGCGGGGCTGCTCGACCGAGCTCAGGTGCATATTACAGACTATATTAGTCATTATTGATGCCGTTTAAATAAGCGCTCGCCCATGTGATCGATATCATTATTTTGTTTTCTATCTGATGGTACATTTGGTGGCATTTGGTATTGCATCGATTTTGTTTGAAGTGGATTATACAGCCACTATGATAGTGCTCATGTTTTCACTACATATCTTTTTTCAGCTAGCTGAGTTGTGTTATCAGTTGTGGTTGCCTGCTATGTGTACATTTTACCCGAGGAAAAACGTCGTCTTTTTGCATGCTCAACATCGTCTGGTGAGCTCGCGCGAAATGATGAAAGAATCGTGTGGGGAGGCGCCTTGTATCGAGTAGAAACGACACGAATGGAATCTGTAAAACTGCAGTGGATAGGATGTCACGCTGTGACCGTGACAACCCCGGTTCAAATCCGGGTATCGACTTTTATCTATATAAAAATATACGCTGGAAAAGGTATAGCGATGGATAGTCCACATCGACCAACAGCGACTCGTAGATTTTCGAGTCGCTATCGTCCAGTGGTTAGGATGCCACTGAGTGGTCTACGAAAATCAAAATCTATTCTTACATTGGTGATAGACTGATCTAACCATAGTCTTGGCGTTGGACTCTACTCTCACACACATATCATGATTGATGTTCAGCCTTACCGGGCTGAGGTTAGACGCGCTGCTCACACTTCGACTGCATTGAACTTCTCGTTCCCAAACCTTCCGTTTTTGCTCAGGAATGAGCTGGCGAAATCTAGCATGCAATTCACTATCATCTCAACTAAGGGACAGTTTCTGTTCACTGCTTCTAGGTTGTGACATCCAATTTCGTTCCCTCATCAACGTTGTTGATCAGAAGGCCTCACGATTTGGCACTAAATTAAATGCATTAAACTTGTGGCTGTCCCTTAGTGTTGAGTTGAAATAGTTTGGATCTCCAACGCAACAGTATCGTATACAACATCTATCATAACCAGGCATTCAACACAGCTTCAAAACAACTGATATAATTCACGACGAAAAAGCAACTCAAATGGTTAAACCGTTGTTTCTCGTCCTTCAACGTTTTCCGCAATCGGAGGCATCGACGATCTTTTTATTTCTTTAATCATTTTGCCCAGATAATATTTATCTTTCATAATCTCCCGCATCGAAGGTCTCCTCCGCAATGTATCCCCGTCATACCACGAATACACCGATTTCCTTCTGCGTCGTATCTCTTCTACCGTACTTCGCTTCCTTCTCCTCACGATGTTGTAGTCATCCCCAACATCGACGTCCCACTCGTGAAGTTTCCCAATGGTTAATTTTTCCTCAAAATGTTCACCATTTTCGCACGAAATCTGCCCGCCCGATGGTGGTAAGAACAAATAATTGACAAATTTTCTCCCGGAGGCATCAACAGTATGTAGCGCGGCAAAAACCGAATTACAAACTGGCATATAAAGCAGTCCAGATGGGAAACCCGCTTCTCGGGTGAAATCCTCTGTCGCTGACATCGACTTGACGAGAGCTGAAGAATCGTCGTTGATAGCCAGACTGATTCTAAATAGATTTTCGCGGCCGCCTTCATAAACTTGATCGGCATTTATAATCTCGAGGGGCGGCCCGAGCACTGAGAACTCATCTTTACAAAGTTCGTTCACTTCCTCTTTCACCGTTGGATCGTTCAGTGCGCCATTTCCTCCCGAAAAGACTTCGCCGTTTTTTCCAAGCTCCGCACTGATTCTACTCTGAGACTGAATTTGAAAGCAATCTCCTTCGTTTGGAATCGTGGCTCGGTACTCTTCAGTGGTATTTCCTTTTACTCTGAACACGCGTGCTTCGGTAACCCTACTCTCAGTGTTGTCAGATTCCACCAGTAAAAAGTCCATATTCGCCAGAGTGAAATTCTCCGTAACCGTATTCAGCAACGGGCATTTTTGAGATTTCGATCCGATCAGCGCACCAGCTTCATCGGCTTCAGCAGGAGTATTAGCAACAGTTTCGCGGTCAGCGGGAATGAAAAAATATTTCACGTCATCACTGAGATAGGCGTACAGGATCTGTCTGCGTCTGAGTTCGCCTCGTACGTACACAACAGCTGAAGTCAAACATAGGATTTTCATGTAGCGATTGGGCATTGAGAGAAATAGCAACTCCGTAAGAAATCCGATATCGAAAATGCTCTCGATAAAGCTGGCAAGAATTTGAAGTCAAGTTCTGGAAACCCTTGGAAAGTTCATACTAGCTCAACTGAGGAAAATTTGTAGCCGTCCATTTCCACGGAAACGGCGCCATCGTGTCGGGCGAGCACGTGTGGTCTCCGCTCGCCCGACACGATGCAGGCAGTAAAGGGTGCTTCAAGACTTCGTGGACAACATGGAGGCCCTGGAATTCCTAAACCACGTAGTTTTTGACAAAGACAATTTGTGTGAACATCAAGCACATCACAAGGAGCACGCATGCTGAAAATGAAAGAAAGTTTTTCATGCCCACCACTGTGAGTGGGGGCACAAAAACCACAGCACGTTGAAGACCATGTGTACCACTCCATTTTTTCCTTGTTCAAAGCACAACGTTCAGAGGTTGTCGGGGGTCAACATAGAAGGGTTCTCTAGCCTCGATTCCGCCTGGACCCTCACAAAAAAGGCTCGGTCCCACCAGCGTGACGGAGAAGGATCGAACACACTCGGTGATATCCGTCTAATCGATGATCCACCCCGGTTTGGCGTGAATGTAATTTACTGTATAGAACCATCTCATTTGGCCCGGACTGAAGCCGAGCATCGTCACACTCATCCCACAGTGGGAGTGGGATTCCAATCGGACGTAATGTCAATACAATCTGACTAGAGTAGAGGCGTGCTCAATGAGCACTGCTCATCATCCTCGGGAAGACTCTTATAGCCCTCAGGTTTTCCAGCTATTATTTGGGAGCTTCGAACATCTTTCTGAAGTAGATTATATTTTCATGCGACGCGTGACATGCGTCCTCGCTGTCTGATTATGTATAACCTCTCGCAGCCTGCCGCTAGCACGAGGGCCTCAAATTGAGCAACAGCTGATCTTTTCCTTCAAGCGACAGCCTTTAGATTGAACTAGGAGCCCAACTCTCTAGAATCAAGTGAACATCGACAGACACCTTAAAAAAACCACATATGCACTACCGACTATCTTGATTTTGATACAGCATGGACGAGAATCGATAGCACATAACTTATGTGCTATTGGTGCGCTAGCTCGTTTATGTGACATAGACGAGCACCAGTGCTATCGATGATGGGCACATATCGATCATGAAAAATGGTCACATTATAACACACTGGATACAACCAGCGCGCGAGGTCCCAAGCCGCTTAGATTTTTTCGGCCTCCGAGTTGGCTCCAAGCCTTTGTCATGATCCTTTCTAGTGCTGGCAACAACACTGCGATTTCGTTCTTTCTGTAGGACGGCCCGGTCCTGGTCGGGGGGTGCACCGCAGTCCTGCGCCGTTAGAGATGAGTCCCCCGCTGATCCCGAGCAGGGAGGTGTTTCAACGGTGTTCCGAGGTGATGAACGCCGCACCGAGGTGGACTGCCTAGCACCATTTGGAGTGATGAAGAGCATCTTATTGTTCAAGTCGAAGTACGTATAGTAGGCACGAAAGAATGGATGTCCGAGGCAGATAACCTCATCTGTAGTCGGGTACAGATCCAACGCGCATTTGTCGGGGAAACATTCCCGAACGTAATGCTTCGGCGATATCCTAAGACTCGTGAGTTCTACACCAGAGTCGTCCATCAAGTAAAATCCCAACTCAGGAAGATAGTTGAAAGCTCGTGCGTCGACCCACACCAAACTCTTCGGGCCCACCCATATAGGATCAGCCAGTGGGTTCCCTTCTTCCTGCATCCTATCTTTCATCTCGCTCAACATCAGCTCGTATTCTCTTTGTGTGAGGTCTAAAGCAGCCGCTCCGGTATCCACCACGACGTGCGTCCACTGACGGGTGAGATTCGAGGAGTTCCTGGCAGAGCCTTCCCCAGCAAGTTGGCTTCGGCGATCGACTGGCTTCAGCTCAGACCTTAGAACAGTGACGCAACGGGGGCAGTACGATGGATGCGTTGTGAACTTCACTGGAGAGAGTTCTGCCGGACGCTGTGGACTACCGCCAAGAAACAGTCTACCATTTATCGCACTCTCTGTTTCGCTCGCTTCAACCGCGACAGAGACTTCTTCAATAACTCCATGCATTCTCAGCTGGTCCAACATGGAAGGACGTTTTGCGGTACCCAGAGCCAAGCCCAAAATGCCCATGGGCGGCCCTCCCCGTGGACTCTTGAAACTGATAATTAGACCGAATTTCACTTCGATGTCACTCACATTGCCAATGGAGAGCGTTCCTGTATGCTCGACATATTCTATATCATCTCCATCAGCAAACTTGATAGTTCTCCGCGGGCGTTTGTATATATCATCACAAGGAAGAGTTGGAGGACAGAAATAACATCCTGTTGCCAGCTCACGGCACGCTCCCGCACGGCTTGATTTCTCGTAGGCCTCACCCGACAAGACCAAGCAACGAGGTGTCGCTGAATCGAGGAACAATTTGACGGTGTGACCATCAAGGGTAATCGGCACGAGGTTATTGATGATGTTCAAGTGCAGCGGAGTCGATGCTCCCTGGACGATGAGGCAGGCGAGATGTGACAAGTGCAGCCATGGATTCATCATGGAGATAACTGAAATATTTCTAATGAAGGTGAACCACGTGACTCTTCTCTTTATTCAAGAGTCTTGAATGACTCATAAGGAGCGTTGCTCCTCTTCAACGCCTCATTCAGACTGAGGGGTTGATGGAAGTTCATTCGATATGTCAACGTCACAGTGCCTGTGCCATGCCGGGCTATTCACGCCATCGGATTTGCTAAGAAATATCGCAGCCGAGGCGAAGATGAGTTGGAAGAGGACTGCCGCTCGAGGTGTGGGCAGTGAGCCTCGCTCGTCCTGGAAACACAACTGCGTTGCTACATAGCTCCCCCTGCCATCCTTCAGAGATTACTCCGGAGGAATATGAACCCGTCGTCAGAGATAGCAACGAGCTTCACTCTCAGAGAGAGAAAAGCTCGTTGCGATTTCTGCCTGAACAGACTAAAACCTAGTCCGCTCGGTTATGCGCTGAGTTTCGTCTCGGCGGAATCGTTGCGCTCTTCGGGCAAAAGTTCGTCCGGGGCGAGCTCGGTGTAGTTACGGAGGGAGTAGGGCATATACTGTCACGTTGCCCATTGCCAGTAAATGACTTCCTGTGCGTTCGGAACGCAGCGAAAAATAATTTGAATGAATCAACGGAGGAACGCAGCGTTCGGAACGGAGCTGCTTTAGGGGGAAATGGGGGATAAGTTTCACCCATCCGAGACATGGCCATCGCACGAGCGCGTCCAGGAGAGCAGTCTGGTGATCGGACAGCCTGGTAGCTATTATAACACATGTCGTTTCTGAGGACAACGGCTTTGCGACGCTGTAGGCTCCGAAAATTTCACAAGACGTTCAGGATGTTCTGGTTTTTGTAGGTATTAGGGATAGGAGGGAAAGTGTGTGTTCGCTTTCCGCGATGACGTGGGTAATGATCGCTTGTGTTGGTGAACAGATCAAACGATGAGGGCTGAGCCGAGAATCGAACCCGGGACCTCGCGCACCCGAAGCGCGAATCATACCACTAGACCACACAGCCGATGCTGTGTGTCATGCGAAGCTAGCTGATATTCTGAGAATAGGAGGTGCGAAGGAGAGAATACTATCTTCCCTTCGCGTCTCAGGCATATCAAAGAGGTAATATCCAAGGCGCTTCTCTCTAACATTCCAACTTGGAATTCGCTTGGAATTTCCAAGCGAATCCGCAGAAGCTTGACTGACTGTTATGGTAAAGGTTTTACCGGATCTCGTTCATAGATAGTGCCTCATGGTCACTTGAGGGTCGATGATTAAATCCTAGCCGTCTTCGTGTTGTTTGAAACAGAAACAACTTGTATCTATGTATAACAGGTTTCTGTATGTTCTTAGGAGATAGGTCGCGGATTCGAATCTCAGATGAAAATTTTAACGTTTAGGATGTTCCGGTTCTCGTAGTATACTTCGATCCCCGCGGTCCCTTCTAGGCAATACTCCTATACATCTATATCATATGGAACTCGCATTGCGAACCTCTGCATCACCGATTCCTATCTCTAGATGTCTCTTTAATTGCGACCAAAATATCAGGGAAGAAAGTCACTCCACCAAGCCCCTTCAAATAGTCAACACACAAAAATACAATTGCACGGAAAATTTACTTGAAACCTTTGATGTGGCACACAACAGCGAAGAATTCATACAATTACAAGCGCGACAATGGAGATATCTTTGCGCACAGCGCAGATTGTCATCATTGTCAACAACGACGTCAACAAGATGTAATAGTAACAATAAACAGGAATTGACATGTATAATGGATATGTTGCAGTTTACTCGGCGGTAGCTTTCACAGGTGTCGAAATCGATCGCGCGATCGATTCGGCCAAGGTAGGATTGTTAAGATAGACTTCCTCAAAGACTCTATCAGCAACCCTGAGGGCCTCTTTGGTGCCTTCACACGTAACCCTCCATTCGTGAGGGATTTGCTCAGCGCCGTATCTAATACAACAACAGCTATCAAGAGCATCATCCTCGAGGAACGACCGGAATTGAAAATACGGCTGTTAAAAGTCGAGAAATGTTAGTTTCTGTTGTCCTCTCATGCCACCTATGAAATACTTCTCAATTATGAAGTGGGAAATTTCAGAGTTTTCGAAGAACTAGTTTCAACAAATTCCAAAAAAGTGAGAATATTTATTTACTCGTGCGCTACCAACTCACGTTGCTCCTGCTATCGCGCCAGCAAGGCATGCATTGGCTCGAGTATCACCACCACAGCTGATGGCCCAGCTCAGAATCAAATGCATTTCTGAAAAAAATACATCAACCAAGATTCGAACCAGCGACCTATACGACGATGGCCGACAATCTTACCGTTTTGACCATACGTCGGACTGGCATTTTCAGTCTCGTCATAATACTGTTCAGCAAAGTCTATCTTGTTGCTACTGTTGAGAATATCAGGACAGAGCATTGCTGGCGTCAAAGTCGCTCCACCCAAATCAGCATCCCTGAAAAGAATATTCAATTTCGTGGCGCGTGACAAAAACAAACAGCCATCAGCTATTCGAGATGAGTCCCCCATATCGTCTCATAAGATTCTTACTCATCAGCGCCGTGAACTTCCTCTCCCACCAAGCCTTGCTTAATAGCAAATGCAACGATCGGCAACGCAGTACTAGCCATGGAATCATTTCCAATCTGAACGCACAGCGAAGATTTTGGAAATGTCGCGCGCCACGAAATTATGTCCTTACCCTGGCGGCGAGCCTCCGCTGTACATCCATTGAAACCTCACTGTAGTTGACAGGTGTTGCCAGTTGGAGTGCAGATATCGTCCTGATGCAAAGATACACAATAGGCCCGAACGTGAACACTACGGAAGAACCCTAAGGGAAAAGATTGACTTTATTTTTCGATTTTTTGTATTTTTTGAAAAAAAGGAATAAAAACTACCACACGAAAATAACCAAGCCGATGAAACTCACCGAGAATCTTTGATGATGCTCAAATCGCAAACTCCCGTCCTCACGGCATTCCGCGCGATATCTACCAAACACTTAGCACGATCCTTAGCGACATCATGTGTAGGGACGGCTCCAGCCATCTGAAAACAACAACATGATTCCTATACATATTCACACTAACAGAAAACTCATGAAACCGCGACGCTGAATATTGAAAATAGATATGCGATTCCGCAGAATAATCACAATATCTTTCCCAAAGATATCCACTGCGCACAGCGAAGATTCCACTCACTTGCTCAAAAACAGTTTCATATTCACCATCCGGGAACAATGCCGCGGGTAAGTCCTTATCATAACAGTGTTGCCGCGCAGTGTGTTCGATTTAGGAACTTCACCATGCAGGACCTGAGATGATGAAATCGATCACGTGATCGATTATGTTAGCATCTTACAGAACCAATCCCAGCACCCCATTTAAGGTGATTCATGTCGGGATCGTTAATCAAATCTACAAAACTTTGTCGGAGGTGCGCACTGTCTCCACCGTTGAGAACGTTCTTCGTCGCATTCAGCATCTAAGGTTCAACACTGTAAGATACAAAATAGGCCCAAAACAATACCATATATCCATTACAGGATTGTCTGAACAACCACTGACCTCCAGAGAGCTTTGCCAATGAGGGCGCCATGGCTCTATAGGAAAGCGATTCGGCAACTTCAGCCATCGGCAATGCGTTGACGCCGATATCACAGAACCTTACAGAGAACAACAATTTCCAGATCTGTCACTATATTTACACTCTGTCACATAATTACCCAAAGAAACCAACGCGTTGACCCCAATATCACAAAAAACGGCTATTCCCAGATCTGTCACTATATTCACACACTGTCACTCAAATACAAAGTAGGAACCATCAGTAACGAGTTGACGCTGATATCACAGAACCTCACAGAAAACGACTATTTCCAGATCTGTCACTATATTTACACTCTGTCACTTACCTAGTGCCGAAGCAATCACCAACAACAGCGCCCAAAAGCATTCCTCTAATTCTCGACTGTAGGACGCTCAAATTGGCGCTCACCACAGGAGAAAGACTCTTCCCAGTTGCTGCTGACATGACGTTAACAGAAGAAAACAATACGAGCAACTACTATACCAAATCACGTTGAAATAATTCAACATCGATCGAGATCGGAAAGTAGCTCTTCGCATGTTAGAGGAAGTCGGCCCCTCAGAGGAAAGCCACTATACGTTCATGAACTTTCCACAAAAACGCGAACAATTTATCTGAACAGTAGAGCACCACGTTATCAACATAACAACCAAGGTTCAACTCCCACAACTTACTTTACGACACCAACAACCTCTACACGTCTTCCTACTAGACATTCCGAATACTCACAGAACAGTTTGTCAAACATTCATTATCTCCCAGGATCGGCTACCCAAGGCAAATCTTCAACTGTCCCCTTCACACAATCGAGCTGTGCTGATACAAACACGAACTTATTTCTAACTACATCACTTCTGAGAATTTCTCAGTGCGTAAAAAGAGCGAACATTCTCGCGACCTACTATATCGCATCACACGATTGTAGAATTTATAACAGAAAACAAAACATCATCTCGGACGGCGCGATTCTTAGCTATCACACGGCATGAACCTCTCAATCGGAATAACCTGCAAAAACCGAATAAATTGCGTCACGGCGCCACGAAATTATTACGAGCATTTTTCCCCAGGCTCAACTAACTCCATCGAAATCTCGAACTCACTGCTAAAGAGCTCAACTAAGCGTGTTGATGTCAATGTGAAAATTAATGGGAAATTCTCGTTGGTTTTTTTCCTAATTTAGCTTTGGAAATTCCTGAGCTGAGACATAAATCAAACATATATTTTAATACCACACATGAACCATGACATTTTTATGCAACTTTCACGACTACAATTAAAAAAACATGAAATACTTTCAAAAAACCACCCTACCACAAACGCTACCCTATACTAATTTTACCGCGCGCCACAAAATTACTATCGGTCACAAATGCGCAGAGTATTAATTACCTCATTACATAAAGTCATACCACTCCTCGCCGAGATCATCAATCACCTACATATATCTTCAAGTGCAAGCAAACACCTACAACCAAGTATTGATAACAAATCCAAATCTTGCATTCTTACTCTCACTTGCATTTCCTCAACGGCACCACACCGAAGGCTGTCCCGCAGCCGTTGAATGCAGGTACCTGAAAATAACCAATTTCGCACCCAACATGTAGCTCAGCAGAACAAGTATCTGTGAGTGCAGTTAGCGCTCGCCCTGATGATCGATTACAGAATATTACCAATATCGAAGAATGGGTAGTCGACAAAGCATCGCGCTGCTGGTCACAGCATTGGGCCTGAAATGAATCTTACACTAGACGCAACAAGATACGCTAAGATTCACAATAATAACTCACCTCATCTTATTCGTATCATACCACAATAACAGTAGATATGCATATAACACAATGACGACAATGCTAGTGTATCTTTCAACTTAGCTGATCTGACACTTTCAATCGAAAATTTTCCCTGAAATTCCCTGAAAATTTGAAAATTTTCGCTGACCGATTCAAACTTATAAGCTTTTATCTGTCGCGCTCTCCTCTTCGTTTGAATTTTTCTGCATGTCACAACAGTAAATTTCGAGAGAAAATTACTTCAGAAAAAAGAGGAAAATTACCTTGAAGAGGGAAAATTACCTTAAAGAGGGAAAATTACCCTGGAAAGAGTGGGAAAATTACACTGGAAATGAAGCGGGAAATTACACTGGGAATAAGGGGGAAAATTACCCTGGAAAAAGGGGGAAAATCACCCTGGAGAAAAAAGGGGAAAATTACACTGGAAAAAGCGGGGAAAATAACATTGGAAAAAAAAGGAAAATTACCCTGGAGAAAGGGAAAATTACACTGGAAAAAGCGGGGAAATTAACCTGGGAAAAGTGAAAATTACACTGGAAATAAGGGGGAAAATTATCCTGGAGAAAACAGGGGAAAATAACCCTGGAGAAAAGTGAAAATTTCACTGGGAAAAGCGTAAAAATTACAATGGAAATAAGGGGGAAAATTACCCCCTCCCCCACCTTTCAACCACTATCACCACACCACAGCATCCAAGATATAAACCCAATATAGGAGATGACCACAGTAACTTCAGCCTATCCAAGGCGTACAATCATACGGATTCGTCGTGATTGACACATTTACGGTATCGTGCAAACAACTATAATGCAAATAATTCCGAAAAAAATGAGTTCTTCAATTTCAGGAGTATAACAACAGATTACAGGCAGCTACAGAAACGTGACCGACCGATTCACTTCATCATCATGTGGCTCTTGAAACCTGAGAAACACTTTTTTGCAAGAAGTTTGATTCACACAGCTGCATAATGATCCAGGTAATCTACATAGCCGATCGTGTCACTACTTTCTCTATACTCAAAAACACGACAACAAATGTTCCTAGTATTAGACTTGCATCTACTCATGTGCAACAGTAGTCGTAGCAGATACTGAGTAGACCAGAGGACCAGTACAATACGTATCAACCTGGGGGGAAGGTAGCAAACACTACAAAGACGGCCTCAGGAAACACTATGGGAAAATATGCACGTGGTCAACCACATGTGTTGGTAACAATATGAAAATTCTTAGGAGTTTTTGGGAATTTCTCATAGTGAATTCTATATTAACTTCTATAGTGAGTGAGGAAACCTCTGAGCTCTGTTGAGGAGACAAGGCATAATATAACGCTCGTCCAACAGACTCAGATGAGCTTGCTGGTGACGTAGGGGAGCAGGGTGGGAAAGCATTCACATGGGCAACATGGAAACTGTGGGAAAACTAACTTCTACCCGAATCCGTAAATAAACATGTGAGAAAACTTCTGTACTCGGCAGAGGAAAGCGAACATATATTCCCACATTGTTGTGGAATCCGAAACCGTTGGATATGTCAGGCCAAGACACTCATCTTGCGCACTCGTCGTTGCTGGGCTCACGTTAACCGCGCAGCGTGGGAAGTGATTTTACGGCGCCACGAATCAAAAGCGCACGCCCAGATGATCGATTATGTACCGCTGAACTGCTATTGTACGACTTAAGTAATTGTCTTCGTATTGTTTAACCATGAAAGGTCAGAATTTGCTTATCAAGCCAAACCTCCTAAATCCTCAAGCCGCTGCTCAGGGTGAGGATATCTTGAGGTTGACTTCGTAAGATACAAATGAGGTTCGTTTCAGGCAACGGGCAGTCAACTGGTGAGACCAAGTTTGAAGGTCCTCCGATGGTGAATGAGCCTGTCCAGACGGACTGCTTCCGTGGCCGGGCTTTTCAGAGTGATTCCATGGGTGGAAATTATGCAAAAATGGTAACTCCCTTTCCCATGTTGGACGTCTTCATTTCTGTATCAGATGAAGGAGAAATACGGAGTTAACGTGTCGGTAGCGCCTCTCAGCGGCAACGGAGCTGTTGTGAACTGCCGTGCTCCATCTAAGGACCAAGCTGTGGCGGCCTCGAAAGTCATCTCCAAGGTAAGTGAGGGGGTTGGCAGTGTGGTTGGTGATTTGAAGGAATTATGGTATGCAGATTCTTGCTGGGTTCCACGTGGAACTCATTGAAACGACTGATGAAGTTCTGGACAAGCTCTTTGATACTACTATGAATCCTGACAAGACCATTGAAGAGGTAAATAATATTTCGATTAATTCTCTGTTATCATCACTCACCCTCCCTCCAGATCTATATGCTCGGTCGTGTGTCTCAACTGAAGAACAAGGAGCCTGGTACTACTATTGCTAGGTCCAATCCCGACAACTTTGAGAACTCGCAGGTATAGTGACGTGGGAGAACTCGCGAGGTGGAGGTCTTCTTGTGTAGGTTGGAATCATCGTGGAAGAGTCCGTCAGAAAAGAGCTGCCTCGTATTCGGGGAGATGTGATGGACATTATACGGAAGTGCTCTTACACGACGGAGACGGTTAAGGTTCCTAGGTAAGGAATTGATGATGATGATGGTGTGGTATGGTGAGAGTTGATGTAGGGCGCATACGAAGACTTGGGGTGAGACTACTACGACGAGTTTGAATGATGCTCTCAACGGCGAAGCTATGGTCTTTTTCCGAAGGTGAGTTGGCGTCGGGTGATTTGGTTTGATGGTGGAAGTTGTGGTTGTCTACCTAGAGGTATGCGGTTCAATTCCTAGGGATGTCTTTTTTTCTTGTTAGAGCCCAGACTAAGGATGATGAGAGCTATTTGGACTTGTGGGGGAGCCCTGAGGGGCGCGAGAGGGCTAAGGAACTTGTAAGAAATTGTTTTGATTGTGCATTCCATCTTTGATACAGAGATAGTAAGCTGTGAGTTTACTATTCACTTGTTATTTACCAGAGTGCTGCTGTTGAACGTTTAGTGCGCTGTATCGTTGATCGGACTTTTACATTGTTGATTCGTATGCTTTCGGATCTCTATTACGGGGTGGATTAGTTCGGCTCCCTCTGGTGGGCGTATTTCAACTGAATATGGTCTGTTCTGTGATCAGCTGAAGCAGTTCTATGAGGCAGTGAGCGTATCGGTTCCCGAGGAAGCCGTCCAACCGATGCTGCAGGACAGATGCAAGGTCCTGCAAGATATCCAGGTTAGTCTAGTGGTTAGTTGTTTGGTTCTCCATCCTGGAGGTCGTGAGTTCGATCCTCATCTCTCTATTTTTTCAGAGAGATGCCGCTGTATCGCTGTATTACTCTAAGCCTGACTCGGCCGTCTTCATATACGGACTGAAAAAGAACAAGGATAAGGCTGCTGCTGATTTCAACAAGTAATGGCGATGAGCACTTCGGAGGGTTCTGAAGGTATCATTTGTAGTTTTTTGGATAACCTACACAAGCAGCTCGCGAAATACACAATAAAGCAGATTGAATTGCGATCTGACGAGATGGGCATTCTGATTGGACCTAAGGGCCGAAACATCAGGTGGGTAATCGAAAGGTCCCCGGATCTATCCGTGGCGAGTGGATTTTATACTCTTGTTGTCGTCAGGCGTATCACGGAAGAGTCCCTTTGTCATGACATTCGTGTTGGTGAGGATCAGATTGTAAGTTTGGGAAGTCTCATACCGTAACTCTTCGAATTCGAGATGATTCCCTTCGTTGCGATGGACATTGTATGGTTATCGAAAATTAGTCGGTTCGTGTTTGTGTAGAATTTTCGATGTGAGTGGAGAAGTGGACTCATTCCATCATCAGGTCACTATCACGGGATTGCCCGCGGCGGTTGAGAAGGCTGTTACTATGATCGAGGAGGATCTAAGTAGGTTATATTTTGTCTCTAGAAAGTTATATGTTTACTAAGTACTCTATATGTTAATTTCCGTTTTATACCCTATCTTTATGAAATTGTTGTGATGCAATATTAACATTAAAAATGCCAAGCGATTAAATTCGCTTTTGGGGCCGATTTTGGTAGTAGTTGGAATTTGGTGATCTTAGATGCTAGAAAGGATGTTGTCACTGTACAGTCGCCTGGAAATGAGAAGGAGAACGAGCCAACTCCAGGTGAGAATTATAGTAGTAGTAGTAGTAGTAGTAGTAGTAGTAGTAGTAGTGATTGCAGTGTATGATGCTTTTGTTGTTGTAGAAGCGAAGTCGTTCTTGTTCGCTCGTCGTGAAGGGGGATGGGGAGAGAAAGTAAGAATTGTAGGGTGCCGGGTTTGAACCTGAGATCGTTGGTTTGTGAGCAGGCCCCTGATGTGGCTAAGGAAGAGCCAGTGGATTTGAACTCGACCGATCAGTTCCCGCCACTTGGAGCTCATCCTTCTGGAAAGCCGAAGAAGGCGAAGTTCCGTGGGACTAAAAAGCATTAAGGTGATATATAGTGTCTGAATAGTCTAGTGGTTAGGTTGTTGGCCTCTGATGCGGTCGGTTGTGGGTTCGATCCGAGGATGCTTCATTTCAGGCACTGTGATTGTGGATTGTTTCGAGTACTGTCGTAGCTTGAGAAGATCTGCAGGGGTGCGAACTCGGTCCCTTTACTTTATCCCAACCTTTCCTTTTCTCTGTTGAGGTTGAGTTTGATGTGCTTCAGATAGGATGGCATTCAGGGACTTGGAATGATACCGAGGGGTGCTCATCTCGAATGTTTCACATGTGTTCATATGTAGCACGTGAATGCGATCATATTAGGAAAATTTTCCCACAAATGTTATTTCTCTAAGCTGGGCGTGAATCTCTACAGATCTTGTTGCGGGTTCTCGTGGATGCCTTTGGACAGATCTGTTTGGTGAATTTTGGGTCTGTCATGAAATTTCCTGGCTGAGTTTTTTTGGCGGTCGTCGCGATAGGAAAGAACAAGGCCAACATGTTGGTGACTATGACCTTGGAATTGATGAAGGAGTGATTATTCATTTACGTGGATGGTAGTACTGGCTGGGCACCGTCTGTGGTTAATTGGAGTTATCCATTATAATAGGGAGTAATGGAGTTTCACAACCCGTTTCACGTGAAGTGGCGTAAAACTCGGTGAAAAACGCGATATTATTCGCGGTGAAATGCAGTAGTCGTGAAATATATTTTTCACTAGTGTTTTTCATATCACTAGGGTGAAACTCCACTACACACTACTAGGTCCTCGCGACGAAGGGGCGGAGTTCGCTTAGTCGACGTCTATTGATTCAATCAATGAATTTGACATAGGTCCCGGGTTCGATCCGCGGGTTGGACAGTTTTCTGTCAAAAAATGTTTTCGTGCATATCTCTTTGAGCTGTTGGCGAAATCGAATTTCTCGATTTTTTGCGGAAACCTCGGCACATAGAGGAGTCGTGTGATCCATCTGATGGCATCCTACGCTTTGTAGTTGAGCCAGAATAATTCTGCACGCACGCACAATGCGAAAGAGCCTGTTGTTGCGGTATACGATCCGCCCGCTTCGTTTGCTCCGCAATTTTATATATACATCCTTTTCTTAGTATACTAATATCGCTGTGTTTCCACTGTTTATAATAAGTACTCGTTTTGGATGGAATCGCGATAGCTTATATGAATGCAGTTTCCGATGCGTATGATGGCGTCAATTTTGTAGCCGTGACCCGGCTCCATATGGAAGTGGTTTCCGGTGCGTGTGATGGCGTCAATATTGTAGCCGTGACACGGCTCCATATGGAAGTAGTTTCCGGTGCGTGTGATGGCGTCAATATTGTAGCCGTGACACGGCTCCATCGAAGTTGCGCGATATGTAATCACTGGTTTTACTCGTTTACTGGGGCTTTCCCTTGTTGTGTTATGGAATTTTATAATTATATCGCTAAGGCTAAATTGTAGAAGTCTACGTACAAATTCGGGTAGGAGTGTACAGAAACCAATAAGACTTTCCTCAACTTTCAGAGATGTTACAAATACGTGTAGTGGACTGCGTGTATATTTTTCCACACCGGGTTTTCTACTGAGAGGCACTAGGAAATTACGTCACTTCACTGGAGATGGGTCCGTAGATGTGAGTCTGAGCGCTCGGTCTCGGATCGATCCGAATTTACATCGTAGTTGGAATCAGTAATGTGGTAGTGGTGGAGTAGGGGACAGGGATGAGTGGAGCGATACTTTTTGAGGTGGAGCGTTTTTGTTGGTGTGCATGCGTGCTGTCGTCTTGGATTTCAAGTTGCATGTGGTTAATTGATGAGAATTTGGGTAGACAAGATAGCTTTATACGGTGACCCACAGTCTGTGAGAAGAAGTGTGGGGAGGAATTTAACTCTTGAGAGGCTTTGGCCGTTCGAGTTGGTATATGTTGGTGACGACGCGGAGTAGATGAGGAAGTGGAGCTTGCACGCATGCACAAGGGCGCCGCCGCCGCCTGTTGGTTGTTATGACCTTCAAGAATGATCCAGCAATCGAGGTTCATATGTTGGATCTTCAGGATAGGTCTATTGAGGTTATATGCAGTGTGGGAATATATGGTTGATTATACCGATGGGGAATTTTTATGATTTTTTGGGGGAAAATTGTATTGATCGGATTTAGATTTTCGTATTTTTGGTTTAGAAGTTTGTGCTGTGGTGTTTCATGGATGTGAACGTTTTAACGGCGTGTTTGACAGGACTTTTTTACCCATGTCTGCATATCCATATGAATCGATCGTGCCTAATTATTCTAATTTAGCCAACGAAGACGGCTCTGTGGGGAGGTGAGATTTGGACCTAATTTGCATCTTGTAAGGTCAACCTTTAGATATTCTTCCGAAGTTTCGCGTGCCGGTGGAATTGAAGTTCCAAGTCAGCCGGGTCGAAGTTCCCTATCGGAAGATCCTCACTACTTGTTAGAAGCGGATCGAATGGCGCCGCGGATGTTGACCGAGGTGCGGGTAGGTCACCCACCATTCTGCGCAAGTTCGATCCCTGGTGGGCGCTTTTTTCCCTAATATTCGAAATAATGCATGCCGCGATGATGAATGTGATTTTCTTCTTAGGGTGTGGACGAACCTCAATGGGTAGGGGAACAGTCACAAGATTTAGCGTATAACTTTTTAAGGTTGGTTACTCTAGGTAGTGAGTTCTTAATTTTGTGGCGCGCGCGGTAATTTCCTATCCTCTTCAGCTACTACCGAAGGTCGGCTGGATGCTACTCCTCCAATGGTAGGATGACGTGTCTGGCGGTTGTCATTGTTGGGTTCTTCAGGACGTCAGACCTGGCGCCGCTCCGCTCTTGTGTGACCCGATTTTGAGTAAGTTTTGCAGTGTTGGAGGAGTATATGTTCGCTTTTCTAAGCTGAGCAGACAGAAATTAATGAGAATTTCCTCTCAGAATTCTCGTATTGTTATCAACACGTGTAGTTGACCATGTGCATATCTTCCTCCCCACCCGATTCGTTCGCTCAGGAGCTCCACCGCCAATACGACGAGACTTAACCTCCTCAGAGCTTGGCAGCCGACCGAATTCGGAAGGATCAAGAGAAGTGATAGGAGGCCTCTGTGATGATGGTGTATGATGATGGAATTCAGATCGCTACTGTGGCACCACCGGGATGTCATAGAACTCTAACACTTGGCATGAGGGCACAAGCGGTGGATTTGGATGATCTTGCAAACTTGCGGGAAGATCGGACGACGTTGATGATGAAGAGGGTGCCTCGAAAGTAGGAAACATGGTGTAGTGGTTAGAGGTCGTGGTTGGTAATCGGAAGGTCGTGGGTTCTATCCCTGTAAAGAATCTTTTTAAGTATTAATGATCGAATACTTCAAGTATTGAGTTATCGAATTCTATAACCGAAGTCGTTCTCAAGTAGGTCGTCAGTCTTGCTTCTGAAATTATGAAGGATTTAGATATTCAAACTTCAACGCCCAGTTTATGCCCGATTATCGTTTCGATATTATGTTGTATTTCTATTCATTCAGATATTCATTGGCGCTTCTTCGCGAGGAAATTGCATCTTTCCCAGGCCTCAGTGACAGCTACGATTTGCTGTAATAAAAATGCCCGCCCCTGGATTCGATCCGGGGACCTTTCGCATGACAGGTATCTACCAGCCGATGTGTCCAAGAATGCGAATAGAGGCTATGCATTTATCAATTTGAAATCTATTAGTCACGTATACATCTTTGCAAGCATGCTACAGGTGAGTAGCAACTGTCACACCTGGGGCGCGCGCTTTTTCGTCGCATTCCCGCGGAATTCGCGTGATTCTCGTGCGCTTTCAGAACCATGAGTGGCGACATTACAATGCTTCGCACAGAACTTGCCAACTTCGCTTTTCTCATGTGCAGGGACGAGAAGATACTCTGCAGCATCTAACTCAAGAACGTAAGATGGTCATTTTCGGACCTGTTTTGAATCTTTGTCGGGGAACCTAAAAGATATCTTTGATTTTAGGTCATCCTTTATATACGCTTCAGCAACGGAGGAGACGTCAGAACTACGGAGCGGGGGCTGAACTGGTCTTATTGTAAGAGGTCCCGGGTTCGATCCTCGGTCGCGGCATTTTTCCTTTCATTTAAGACCAGTCGGTTCACAAGACGAATGGGCGGCAGATGAATACCAATTGCCGAACGAGGGTAAGCGGAAAAATTAATGAGAATTTTTTCCCGATTTTTTTTCTGTTTTTCAGACTTTTTTCAGCCCAGTTACAGTACTATGTAGTGGCTTTCGCGCAGAAAGCGTTTTCAAGTCAATTTCATCTACTGAGGCCCTTTCCGTGGCGCTCCTTTACGGGTTGTTGTGTTATTAGTTGTATATCAATTATGGAATTTATATGTTACAATAGGAAAAACTGCGAATGAATATACATGAGCTCATCCAGAGTGATGGTAGAGTGAGGGTAGAAAAGGAGAACTCGATTGAGAGTTAGCAGTGAACTGAGGCGCTTTCCGTGGCGCCCTTTTACACGTTGTTGCGGTATTAGTTTTATCAATGAGGAATTCATAGATACATAAAATTAGTAGTGGAGTTTCTCAGCTGTCATATGAAAATCATATTTCATAAGTTATCGATTAAAAATAAAATGATATTCATTTACGTTAGTTGTATTATCGGTCGCAGAAATATCCACTTCTCAAAACTGTGTGGAGTATGACGCCACTTCGCGGTGAAACTATAATGGAGTTTCACCCTAGTGATATGAAAAACACTAGTGAAAAATATATTTCACGACTACTGCACATCACCGCGAATAATATCGCGTTTTTCACAGAGTTTTACGACGCCACTTCACGTAAAACTTGTTTTTAGGTAGATCGGATATTTCGATATTATAAACTAAATTTTTCAGCTACTCTTAGGGTCGGAAAAAAAATCTTAATTTCAAGTTTTTGTAGATGTGAATTGACACAAATGTGGTATTAAAATTCTCAACAGTTTTGGGGTATTATAAATGCCGTCCTCTTCAAAGGAAAAATGGACTCTTCGAGCGGCGTCGGAGTTCTCAACGGAAGCAGCGTATAAAGAGTATCTGTTGAGTTTGACAAAACGGTAATTTTTTTGGGAAAATGGAGTTTCACCCTAGTGATATGAAAAAAAAACATATTTCACGACTACTACATACGACGAATATCGCATTTTTTCACCGAGTTTTACGCCACTTCGCGTAAAACGGGTGAAACTCCAATATTTCCATTTTCGAATTAACAAGTAATTATTGGAGTTTCACCCGTGTAAAAAATATTTTACTATTCATTCCCGTGGAATGCATCGGTCGCGAAAACATATATGTCATATTATTCGCATTACATCACTTCGCGTTAAAAAAGTGAAACTCCAGTGTTGGAATATATGTTCGCACTCCTCAGCTGAGCTCGGGAGTTTCTTCGTTAGTTATAGAATTAGGGTAGAAAAAATTCCTCAGAGTTTTCGTAATTTCACCAACACATTTTTCCCACATTGTAAACAATTTTTGAAGATAATCACGGTTTTGTTTCCTCATTTGAGTTCGGGAAATTTTTCACTATTTATTGGAAATTTACCAAAAAATTCCGAAGAGGTGTATTAAACCGACAAAAATTTACTCAAAATATTCATATTTTTACCATCACACACAATTGAGAGTAAAAAAACATTTTTTTGGGGAAATTTTCCGACTGATCATTCGATCGTATATTGGAGTTTCACGGGCGGCCCTAGCGATATGAAAAACACTAGTGAAAAATACATTTCACGACTACTGCATATCACCGCGAATAATATCGCGTTTTACGACGCCACTTCACGTAAAACGGGTCGTGAAACTCCATTAATATTTCAGATTTGAGTGCACTGAGGATGATGACGATGAAATTATGGAGAAGTGCAAAGGTAAAAAAGGGTGGTGATTCGAATTGACAGTTCTAAATTTAAAATATGTTTTTGTTGTTCTGTACGCGCGAAAACATGTTCATTTTCTACTTAGGATTTTTATGACCAAACTGATCATAATAACGAGGAACTGGTTTATGAATATTCAAATAAATATGAAATTCACTCGATTTAGGTGGTGTATTGGAGTCAGCCTTTGACGACTGCGACGATGAACTAACGAGAAGCATTTTGAATGATTCCAGGCTGATTGCCCAGGTAAAAAATTTTTGGAGAAAAAAATTCCGGAAAAAATTCTGTTGGTAGAAAAATAGTAGATCCTCCGAAATTTTTGTCGTTATGAAAACGCGTAGTTGAGTATTTTCTCCAGCAATGTTGTTTGGGTAGTTTTTTCATACCGAAAAAATTAGCATGTGAAAGTTGGTTCACAACCCGTTTTACGTGAAGTGGCGTAAAACTCTGTGAAAACGCGATGTGAAGTAGTCATGAAATATGTTAGTATTTTTCATATCACTAGGGTGAAACTCCCATTGAAATTCGCGAAGTTAACATCACATTGTTGGTAAAAAAAGAAAAAAATAGAAAAAATAAAAAATTTTCCCGTGTAAATAGAGCTCCGCTCCGCTAATTTTTAGTCCATTTTCAGTCGAATCAATTGCAACTCGTATCAGACATGCTGCGAATATGTCCGATTTCCGCAGAATCAGTAAAGCCAGGCGGAAGTAAGGGCGGAGCGAAGCGATTCATGTTTTAATGATTTTATGTTATGTTTAGTATTGGCGTCGTCAGCTATTGAGACAACAACGGCGAGTGGTCGTAGTAGCGATTCGGAGAGTTCTACAGCTGATAGTGAAAATAAACTAGAAAAGGGTAAGTTGCTCATTCGGTTTTCTAGATGTGAAAATGTATATTTCGAAATATGAGATCACGCAAATGTAGTATAATTGTCATATATAGAGAGCTCAGCTGAGTGTGATAGTAGCTTCTACATATTACTAGCGGCTCGCGTCGCTCCGCTCCTACGGAGGGGGAGGTTGTAGTGTGTTTCTGTCGATTGGTTTGTTATGAAAATAAAGCGTGGACTCCACAGTGTTAAGTAGTAGTTGGGTAGGAGTGTATTCCCATAGGACCACTAAAGCGATGTAAAGTTTGCACGAAGTGCAAGGAAACGTGATGAAATTACGCACGATGTAGGTTCAGGAATATCTTGGAGTTTCACAACCCGTTTTACGTGAAGTGGCGTAAAACGCGATATTCGCGGCCTGCAGTAGTCGTGAAATATGTTTTTTACTAGTGTTTTTCATATTACGAGGATGGCGAAACTCCATTATTAATATTTTATATAGCCATACTCTAATATTGATAATATTTATACTAGTAGTATATTGGAGTTTCCCCCGTTTTACTGTGTTTTTCACTAGTGTTTTTCACATCACTAGGGTTGTGAAACTCCATTGAAAAGAGTAGAATTGGAGTGCTAGGAGGCGTTTAGAATTACTAAGTGAGAAGCCACGCATAAGAGGGACATGCAAACGCGATGTGAAGTGAACTGAAAACACTTCGGGAATCATATCAATCAAGTCACCACATTTCACGTTAAACACATTCCGCGTTTTAGACGTGTTTTTTTCGCGGAGTGAAATTTGTTATGATCATGTTCGTATATTGGAGTTTCACAACCCGTTTTACGATATGCAGTAGTCGTGAAATATGTTTTTCATATCACTAGGGTATAACTCCATTGAAATTTTCCAGGTATGAGTATAGTATTGGGAGATAGGATTCCGGGAGAGCTCGCATCGTATGGTGTCACCGCAAGAGGACACACAGCTGATAATGGCCGACCTGTTGCGGTTCCGTTAAGGCTTGGTAATAATTTTGTGGCGAGTGACGGAAAATTTTTGTTTTTTTTTCGTTCAGGAGGGTTCGAAGAAACTGAAAGAATGTCTGAAAATGGCGTATTGGAGCTGCGAAATGAAGCCCTGCGGGAAAAGGGAGGGATCCGAATAAAAGCTGAACCGTAAGTGGTTGTTGTTGTTGGTGTGGTAGAATATGCACATGGTCAAGTACATGATGTGTTGGTGATGAAAAATATATGTTCGCTTTCCTCAGCTACTGAGCTCAGGAGTTTCCGAACCTATATTATAGGAGTTTACATACAAATCCTAGTAGAAGTGTACAGAAACCAACAAAAAATTCGCAAAATTTCCTCTGATTTTTCGAATTGTCACCAAATTTTTCTCCAACGCTGCTGTTTTAGATTTTTCGAAGGGTTCACGGAAACCGTGTCGATTCCGAGTGATATGCCATTTTCGGAAATGACCGCCGTCCCGGGTCTACCCGAAGTAGCGAAGACTGTGGCGAGGAGGAGCGTGAGAATGCGAAAAAAGCTCTTAGAGCCAGCAGCGAAAGAGTGCCGTTTTTGGGCCTGTTTTGAATCTTAGCATCTCAACCTTAAGATACGTCCAAGCTTATGGAGTGTGGTCGAAAATAGCTGAAGCTCGGCAGAGGGAGCTTTTGGAGCTATCGGGAGTTTTTGGGCATAAACAAACTGATCTGATACGAGCATTGGATGCTACTGTTTATAATCGCGAGGATAAGAAAACGTTCGAAACAAGAATTAGGTAAAATTGCCGCCACTGGAAATCGAACCTGTGCGGGGATATATGATTGGTTTCCTTACTGCAGTATGAAAATTGACATACGATTTGGGGTAAAAGTATGCAAAAACCTTGGAAAATCTCGGAAAATTTCAAAAAATCAGAAAATTTCAGAAAATTTCAAAAAAATCCGAAAATTTCAGGAAAATTCAGAAAATTTCGGAACATTTCTGGAAAATCCGGAAAATTTCAACTCTTAATTTTCATATTCTTACTAACACATGTAGTTGAGCATGTTCATATATTCTCTCACCGAGAATCGAACCTGTGCGGGAAGAGTACCTGTGGGTTTCGCAGATCGCAACATTACCTCCTCCTTGGCAACCATGAGAGCTTTGGAGGTGGATGTTCGATTATGAACGCCCGTTCTCGAGGAAGGCATCATCCAAGGATGCCCGAGGCGCTCAAGGGGACGACCAGCTCGAGCGCTAAAACAGGTAGGGGGGGAGGATTGAAATTGGTTGTAGTGTGTTGAGTATTGGTGAGTAATTCCGCTTATTGAGTTAACACAAGACAGACTTGTTTAGCCTGATTCTAACTTATAACTTACAATTACAATTACAACACTAGCTTGACGCTAGATATCTTAGCTAACACAAAGTGGAGCGACTCCATAGGGACAACAATCACACAACACAGTAGTGGAACAGTCGTGGAAAATATATTTCACGAATAAATTCGCGAAAAACAACAGTGTTTCTGGACTCTTTGCATTTAAATGGAGTATTACGCCACTTCATGTTAAACGGATGAAACTCCGTTTAAAAAAATAATATATTTGATTCTTTTATTTCCTTGTGAAATTTCGATTTTTTCCATTTTTTCCACATTTTTCATTTGGAAATTATATGAAAATTCGCTGATTTTGTCGTTGAGCATGTGGTATAATTTTTTTCAAACTTTTATGTACTGTGAAAATTTTTTGTGGGTATAATTTCAGAGATTTCCTCGTCGGACTACGACACGCCGCGAAATGAAGGAGGAGGCAGACGGAAACGCTCGAGTCGGGTGAGTTGAGGGCGCCAACGTTTTTAGTGGGGTGAATTATTCCGATTACGTATCGTGAGTATTAAATCGTTGGTTCTATTTGTGAGTGAAGAAACTCCTGAGCTCATGTGAGTAGCTTTTGTAGGGTTGATGCTATTTTTCATTTTTATCGTTATTTGAATTGTAATTGCGGGAAATAAAAAGATTCTTTTCCAAGCTTAAGAATGGAGTTTCACGGGCGGCTCTAGTGATATGAAAAACATATTTCACGACTACTGCATATCACCGCGAATAATATCGCGTTTTTCAACGCTTCACGTAAAACGGGTTGTGAAAGTCACAAATTTTTTCGGTGACTTGTTCGGTCGGTCAGGGCGCAACAGCGAAGGAGTCTCCAGCTGTTGAGCAACAAATAGAAGAGGAAGCAGTTGATGAGGAAGCTGAAAAACGGGCGTCGATTCCCGATCTGGAGTTGTTCGATTATTCGCTGGTTGGCTCTAGTGTGGCATTTAACGACACGAATAGAAGAGTTGCAGATCTAGCTGAAGCTAATAAAGAGTAAGTGGGCGAAAATATGCATATGTGTTGGTGGTGATGGTATGGAAATTCGGGGAAATTATTGTTGTGTATACTTTTATAATTAGTGAGGAAATTGCTGAGTTTATGGAAGTATATTCCTCCAGCACAGCGAGATGGTGAAGTTGAAATGGAGCGGTACTCGCAGAGGGAACTTCTGAGATTTTGCAATTTGACAATATTGCAGACAGGCGCGAGGATTTTCCATTGAAAATTTATTCAATTTTAAAAAAAAGTTACTTCCACACGTGTTTTTTTTCGGTTTGCCGCGTAATGCGCGGAATTTTGGTATGTTAGTGATGGAATAATATGCACGCAGATCTTCCCTGCAGCTAACTCAGCGAACAGATGCAGATATTAAAAAATTGACTTTTGATTTTGGGATAATTTCGATTGATACGTATGATATATTTATCCACATGATATGAAATGGAGTTTCACGACCCGTTTTACGTGACATTCTAGTGGCATCGTAAAACTCGGTGAAAAACGAGATATTACTCGCTGTGATATGCAGTAGTCGTAAAATATGTTTTTCACTAGTGTTTTTCATATCACTAGGGTGGTGAAGCTCCAATGAATGAGTACGAATGAAGTGGGCTCTGGCTTTAGTTGGTGTTGGATTTATCTACACGCAGATATTTTCTACAGCTAACTCAGCCAACAGATGCAGATGTCAAGAAATTTCTCGAGAGATTGGTATCATTCCCCAAAGACTTTAGACGTATGGCAGCGGGAAGCGATCGCCTTAGTACAGGACAGATGATCGAGATCTACTTTAGGTGAGCGGGAGGTCGTGGATTCGATCCCGGCACGCGTTTTTGGTAAAAAAATATTGAAATTGTGAGGAAATTATCATTGGTTTTCGTATACTTTTACACGAAATTTTGCAAGGATTTTCGTAATGCAGTGAGAAAAGTTACAAGCTCAGTTGAGAAAACTAAATATATATTCCCACACTGTCTACTGGTGACTATGTGGAGATTATGAAGTAATTTCTTGGGAAATTCTCATTGTAAACTCCTCTCATTTTTTATACATGATTCATATGTAAACTCCTATAATGTAGCTTTGGAAACTCCTGAGCTCAGCTGAGGAAAGCGAACATATATTTCTACTCCAACACTGTGGTCGACTACATGTGTTGGAAAATATTTTGGGAAATTCTTATTGGTTTTTTTTGTACACTTCTACCCTAATTCGTATGTAAACTCCTGAGCTCAGCTGAGGAAAGCGAACATATATTCCTACTCCAACACTGTATAGGAAACTCCTGAGCTCAGTAGCTGAGGAAAGCGATTACATATATTCCTACTCCAACACTGTATAGGAAACTCCTGAGCTCAGTAGCTGAGGAAAGCGATTACATATATTCCTACTCCAACACTGGCTGTGTTCAGATATAAAAATCTGTTGGGATGCAAGACTATGTTGAGTGGATCTTTGAGAAGCCAAACGTGCAAACACATTGCTAGGAAGGTGAGCGGAGGAGCGCATACGGACCTCATTTGAATCTTACGATCTTGAACCTTGGATATCTTTGCGCACTATGAATGTTTTTTGCGATTTGTATATGTGGACCTCATTTGAATTTTACGATCTTGAACCTTGGATATCTTTGCGCACTATGAATGTTTTTCTGCGATTTGTATATGTGGACCTCATTTGAATTTTACGATCTTGAACCTTGGATATCTTTGCGCACTATGAATGTTTTTCTGCGATTTATATATGTGGACCTCATTTGAATCTCACGGTCTTGAACCTTGGATATCTTTGCGCACTATGAATGTTTTTCTGCGATTTGTATATGTGGACATCATTTGAATCTTATGATCTTGAACCTTGGATATCTTTGCGCACTATGAATGTTTTTCTGCGATTTGTATATGTGGACCTCATTTGAATCTTATGATCTTGAACCTTGGATATCTCTTCATTGTGTCTTTCTTTATCAGGAGATCAAACGTACTATGTATTATTTATCAAAAGCTGCAGATAAGGTCCCTCATCTCTGTCCAAGAGCTCCTCCAGTGGGCGCGCATGGGCGACCGGTGAGAATGTTTGAATATTTTAAATCCACCCAATTGTGGTATTGTCAGAGTCGCTATTATACGCACGAATTCCTGCGCTGTCTGGAACAGAACTCGCTGCGTTATAATCCGCATAGGCGTCGTGCTATTGTGAATACGGAAGATGATAATTCACTGAGAGGTGGGGAAGGGTTTTTTTCATGGTTTGTGGTTCCGTATTAGGAAAGCGACTATATTATAAGTGTGGTAAAATATGCGCATGGTCGCTTACATGTGTTGGGAAAATTTTCATTGATTTCTTTACACTTCTGCCCGGAATTACACATGAAAATCCTAGACTCAGGCGAAAAGAATGAACATATATCCCGTCGCGGAAGAAATGCGTGGCTCATTATTGATCGTTTTTTTTGTGGTGACTGGGGATGGTGTTGGTGATAATTAATTGTTTATTTCGATCTCTGATACTATTGAGAATGTTGTCATTGTATCCTTCCTTCGGGAATGTAGTGAAGGTATTTATAATGGAGTTGCACCCGTGATGTGAAAAACGCATTTCACTTTTCACATCGCGAATATCACGTTTTTCACGTGGAGTATTACACCACTTCGCGTAAAAAAGGTGGAGCTCCGATGTATCAGTTCATTATTCGAATTATGTTTTTTCTCGAACAGGAGGGACGTAAACGTAGTTGTTTTGTATCTTGTGTAGGCAAGTTGGAGGATATCCTCGCAACAGCTGTGGCGTCGCATTGTCTGGAATGGGCGGATCTGGAAGCAGTAGCACAGAGAAGATACCGACCGTCGCCGTTTAAAGGGGGTGAGCATCTGCCACAGATGAGTTCATCAACAACCCCTAGTGGCAATCCGGTTTAGTAGCGAACTATTGAGTCGCGTTGAGTTCGACTGAGAGATTTGTAGTGAACGAATATCAAGTTGATATAATCAACTTCACAGTTTCACCGACAGAATGAATTCGTTCAGAATCGATTATGTATACAAAGGTTCTAGGTGATGAACTTGATGACGAAGTGAGGACCAAAATGGAGCCTTGGTTGCTCTGATGAAGTCGGGATAACAATAGCAAGAATCATAACACAGTATTGTGGAAATATGCAGATAGTTAACTTCATGAAGTTACCCAACATAACCAATGTTAACTTACATGAAAATTCCAAGGGAATTTTGGTATTTTTTTCGTTGATTTCTGTATACTTCTACTTGAATATGTATGTAAACTAGATCTTTTTGATACCACGACGATATCAGCATTCGAGCTAGCGCAACGGCCGCTGAGGCTGCCAGCAAATCCTAGAGGGCTATACGAGCAATCTCTCAGGCGAGACCAAAACGACTAAACAAAACGGACTAAAACAAAAAACCGTTAAGGTGAAGGTCGGCGTGAGCCGTCCAACGAGAAGCCTCGCAGCGGTCATATCCTCATTAAAGCTCAAAGATCAGAAGTGATGATAGCAAACCGCTCAGTCGGATCTACCGCGGCCTAGACCGTAATGAGATCGTGACTCCCCTTCACTTCTTGGATCACTCATTATCTTTCAACTCAAAATATGGACAGGCGTTTGTAATAGTCGCTACCCGGATTTGAACCGGGGTTGTCACGGCCACAACGTGACGTCCTAACCACTAGACGATAGCGACTTGAAAATTTTCAGCGTAGATATCTCGGATTGGGGGGTCAGCCTTCCCGGCGTGGATGACGCTTTCGAGTAGTTCCGAAGCTGAAGGTCATCCTTGCAGTACGACTAGGCTCAGCGGAGAGTTTCTCACGGAGAGGAGTCAACTCTCCTAAATGAGGGGTCCTCATCCAGGGTGAGTGAAGTCACTAAGTCCTGGTATCGTTCACTTGCGCAAGTCCGGTCTCTGGTGACTCGATGTCTTTCAAGTGGAACGGCGTGTAGCAGCGAGTTGTATTCTGCAGGCTGGCTAGAAATAGATGTTGATGATTCACACTCATGAAACTCAAGGTTGCCACATGCTTAAAAAGAAAAACAAACTATTCCGAAATGTGTGGCGAAGCCGACCAAATTCTGAGAATCCACGAGAGAAGTTCTCTTATGGAACGACTCTAGAGGAGACGGTGTGAAAATAGCTAAAGCATCTTGTCCTTGAATTCCTCAATACTTGTGTGCTCCTGAACAAGCCTGATGACGAGTAACAGGTAGTTGTAATAGGCTCCTTGGCTGAATCACACATCACTGCTGATCATAGTTGGGTTAATGTCGATCGTGAGCGAAGCACTAGATACCTCCGCAGGGTGAGGGTAGAGTCATACGTATCATAAGGTGCAGACACATGTACCGTCATCGGTTTTCACGCACACGCCGCCGCAGCTGACGCAAGGATGTGGACACTTCTCACAGCCTTGCATGACGAACGCAATGAGAGCAGCAACAGCGAGTTTGACGCGCATCTAGAATTGAATGAACTAAATATACGAAGCGTAAGATATATAAGCTCAAGAAAATAATGTGAATTTTCAAAATGGGTATCAGAAAAACTATGAGCGATCGCAGTGGCAAGCGGACGGGAATCTCATGTTTTTCCCAGCAGACCAGTGTGCCTCCAAATGCATGCCAATCTGCTAGTTAGAGGAAAGCCGCCAAACTTCGGCACGCCAACCTACCCCTTCCCCGAGGCAGCTGTTTTTTGCGTTGATAGAATTTCTACATACAGTCCGTGACGAGAATCATCTCCTGCCGTGATAGGCTGTTCAGAAGGTATGAAATTTCGGGCTTTTTCCTATTATTCGCCGTCACAACTGCCAATACAATGCTCGTTCGAGAATTGGAAATGACGCATAAGGTTCGCAATCAAACCCATATCCTCACCTATCATGCAGTCGAGCTCTATTTCAAGGACTAAACAGTTTCCACCATAAAGATCATCTTCACATAGTTAAAGGGTCAGTTCCTCCGTCCACGCGAGTCGCGTGACGCGCTCGCGCACGCATGCACAAATCTCTCTGCACGGAGCGGTTCGCAGCCCACAAGCTGCAATGGATAAGAATGCATATTATGGCTCTTCCAAGTGTTGTTGAGTCAGCCAGTGCCAGGTGTTACTACTAACAAGAATTGCGTCACGTGTGTTTATACCTCTTCTTTGTGCTGTAGCGTCGGCTGATTCAAACCCCGGAATAAGTGGTGGCAACTCAACCCCTCCGCCCCTTGAAGATGGGGTCTTAAATATGTTGTGTGAGTTGAGCAGCATCCGAAGATGGGAAATGAGAGGCTACACAGAAAGCGAACAACGCCTCATGGGAAAGGGTGCAATGAACGGGGCTGATCGTGCACGTGTCACAACCGTCGTCACGATATTGTGCGCGTGAAGGAGACAAGACCCTTAGGGAAGCCTTCGGGTCGAGTCCTACACTGCAGTGCTGTTGCTCAAAGGAGGGCACCAATTCAATCAACTCCTCGTTGGGAATGTTACAAGATACCCGGCAGCTAATTCACTGTAAACTTCGCGCCCATCCATATCGTGGCTCTTGAGCAGTGCTCAATGAGCACGTTTCTGGTGTCAAGCAGCGTGTGGCACGCTGATTCCCAACCTGGGAATCTCAGACCGATTACGGCATTTCCAGGCGCCCGCTGCGACTTCCGGATCCGAGTCTTAGTAGTGAAGAAATTCCGATTGGTGCTCTGTTCAAGTGTGCTTCCTCGGAAGGATGCAACTTCTAAGGGCATTTCCCCAGTATGCTATCCCAGCAGTTGCAATATACGCTCAATCGTTCTTCCGAGTCATTGCCGGGACTCGCAAACTTCGTTCCCCTCTTCGAGGAAATTCTTTCTATTGGAAAATGGTTGCGCTTCATGTTTAAACTCACGTAGCACAAACGACCTGAACTTCAAGTGTTTGATACACTTTGTGTGTTAAGGGAAAATCCAAGGCAGTCCGCTGCGTGAATCAGCTTTGCAACGTGCGTGCAAGACAAACCACGTCACCCGTGTGCTCGTCGAAGCGAGCTGGTGTCCAGCACTATGGTGTCGGGTGTCTGGAAAATGGGGTCGTCCCACCCGTCCCACCCAGGGGCTTGCCTGGTAGGAACGTTTTCTTTCTGGCTGATCGATTCGCGGCTCCGAGTCGCTTAACATTGGGGAAAGAGTCGCTCGAGTCGAAACCCGAACTTAATATACCCTATATTCTCTTTTTATTCTCCCTCTAAGAGAGTGTCTCATAGACAATGAGACATAGAATGTTCTCTAGTAGTCAAAATAATAGTGAATGAGTTCATTGTGGGCCGGGTTTATGCAATTGATTATTAAAATTAAGTTTTATTGCACAAGTATTGAGTGATTGCTTTGCGTTCCGTGTGGGACTCGGAAACTTCCCTGGAATGTGCGGTTTTTAGGAAAAAAATACCCACTATGTGACACTGCTCGGATTGCAAGAGCTTGGCACACAAACTCGGATGAAATTCTAACTTGAACATATTTTTTTCCCTCCGACCGAGTACTCGGACTCAAAAAATTGAGCATTTGATCGAGCTCCACATCACTTTCATATTCGGCCTGAATTTTCAACTCTTTGAAAATTTTCCCTCTTTTCTGACTTTCTACCTACGAGTTTTATTTTTTGTTAAGATTGGCCCGCCCCGTTATAGCTGCAACTCGTCGATTATGCTATTTGGTGCGATGAACAATCATAATTAGTATGCAACTCTCTCAGGCTATTTCGTATTGCATTTCATATGGTTAATACCCTAACAAGTAACTAAGTAAAACTCGTCATTAAATGAAGTGTCCTAACTGTTCAAATTTGCAATGAAATAACTTGGCTTATCAAAAACGTATCGACTTCAATCAATGACGTTAATTTTGGCTGATCGAGTAGATTATCGAAAATTTCGAGAAACTATCCGATTTACCCCTTAGAAATTCACGCGATAAACTTTTTCAAGTGACTATTCGTTTGCATCACCATGATACTATGCACTGCATAGTATGCAGAGGCTTCACACACTTACATTTCTCAGCACTTTCTATGTTCTCAATGTGCAGAGCTTATTACTGTTCTTCACTCAACTCAAAACCAAGATTTCTATAACATGATAACCGATGATCAGCAATCATAAAAACTCAGCGATACGGGTCATTTTGATCAACGCCATCGTCGATTCCAATGATTGAGTCATACAATAAAAGGAGGATAAGCATATGTCAATGATACGTAGATAACTTTTAGACAACTGTAGCTTCCTCAGCGCCCTTCAATGAGCTTCGCTTGCGCTCATAATCAGCCAGAGCTGCGTGGACCGCCTGAAGTGACGATATCAAAAGGCGGAGACGCAAACTCGAGTCTTAACTAGCAGTATCGAGCATCGCAGGTTGCGTACACAATAGGACACGCGACATCGAAACCTCAAAATGCTATATCATTTCTTTAATTTGAACATCGCGAGCTCACAACAAAAGCGAAAAAGTTCGTTCACTCCTTGACCAAAATTAGCGGAACTCAGATAGAAAATGAATTTCCATATGAGACTAAAACCACGAACTCTGAACAAAATATAAGGCACATCTCTCTGCTTCTATTCACCATAGCCATTTAGCCCCACTTTAGTGAGGAAACTACTACCTAGTATGCAGCAATATTGATGAAATTGTGTGACATCGAAACCGCTCAAATTGAGACAGTTTTTCTTGGATTCGATTAAAAAATAATAAATTTCCAATTTCACCGAACGGATCATCGTACCTCTTCGACGAGGAGTGAGCAGTGGATCTTCACCGGGGGCAGTTTGAGATAGCCAGAAATGTCCGTGTTCTTCAACTCGGAGGCTTCCTTCTGAGTCTTACCTGACGAAAAAAAACTATTTTAAACAACCCAAGTTGTGCATAAAACGACACGGGAAAAGTTGAATAGAGTAAAATACACACTGTAGGATAAGCCTTCTAGCACACAAAGTATGTCTGTCCCCATTGTGCCATCCTCCGTAGCATAGCCTAGCTTAGCCATGTATGAGTGCTACATATTAAGTTCTAACGAGTCGGATAATAACGTTGATCTACTGTTTGTTAAGTTAGTCTTATAACACTCAATTGAATCACAGTATAGAACTGATAGTGAAACCGTCAGCATTATCATTCCGATCGACTCACCTTTGTTTCAAACTACTTATATGAGGAGTGTGTTTGTGAATTTAAAGTTCAACGCCTACTACGACAACGTGGCTCGATTAGACTCGCATCTATGCACATCAACTTTCGAGGCATCAGTTTTAGCCTTTCAAACTGTCTACTTTCGAGAGGTGACTAAAATTGAGTATAACAGTCACTCTTCAGATGAGAAAATGTGAAGCGATGATACCACACACGAGTAATAGAAGTATAGATCGTTTTTGACCATGGACACCCTTGTAGGAAAATTTGCACATGGTCAACTACATGCGAAAATTTCGGGAAAGACTGATTGATTCCTGTACACTTCTACCCTAATTCGTATATAAACTCCTATAACTAGTGAGAAAACTCCTGAGCTCAACTGAGGAGAGCGAACATTGCCATATACTTTTTCGCATGAGAAGTGATATACAGTTGGGAAGTTAGAACAGAGAGCTCACCCTTGATCATCTCAGTGGCAAGACTACTGCTCGCAATCGCCGAACCGCAACCGAATGTCTTGAACTTAGCGTCTTGAACAACACCGTCTTCTATTTTAACTTGAAGTTGGACGACATCACCACAAGAGGCCTTACCTGAATAGGCACTTCATCAAATCTAAGCGAGATGCATAAAAACCAAAGAAGCGCGCGCCATTAATGGAAAGTGAGGTTGATATCCAGGTGATGACCATAACGCAAGTGAGCATCTAAACTGCAAACTCCAAAAGAAGTGAAAGCAAGAACTGCAGGTGAAAGCGGAGAAAGGGAAGCCCGAAACCCCACCCGAAACCCGACGGGAAACCAGAAACCCGAACTGTTATCCGAGGCTAAGTCGAAATTCAAGTGAGAGCGTGAGCTAAACTTCTTTAGAAAAGAGGATTTCCCCTTACCTGAACAACTACAATGGACGAGTTTCACGCGAATAACACTAGTGAAAAACATATTGCACATTTCACTACGAGGAAAACAATAGTGTTACGTCTGAGGATTTGCATTCGCCACTTCACATTGGAATGACGAGCATAAACTCACCAACAACGGCAGTGCCAACACTGGGGTCCTTCTTATCGAGCTTTCCGGCATTTCGAGGGTTCTTGAAGTGGTCTAACACGTTGTCATGATAGTATCTGCAAAAACCACTTCACAGTGTAAGCTCTGCGGAGTTTCCTCACTAACTATAGTAGTTTACATGCAAATTCGAATAGAAATGAGCTAAAACCAATGAAAAATCAAAGTTTTCATATTGTCACCACCACGTGCATATTCTCCCAGGCGTCACTAAATCACCTCTTCTGAGCAGCACATGAGCACCACGCCGAAGTGATACGAGATGCCGCACCAGATGGGAATATAGGGCGGAGCATTAGGATGAAGCTTGTCAAGAACTATGACAAGCGAGAATCTTTCTATGTAAAAAGCGCGCGCCATTCTAATCGATTATTATGAAACTGTTTCTGGTGCTACAACGCAACTACTTGTAACTATGGCAGCTCGTTTGAATTCAGACAGAATGAACGGACGACGACGACGCCCACGTGATGAAGTTGATGATGATGATATTGACTTAGATGACCCTCAGGAAGAGCGAGCGATGGAAAGAGGCCATTCCCGAATGGTGAGGCGGGTATTATGTGACACAGTTTTTGTTTTATTTTTAGTATGTCTGTATTAGTGGAGTTTCACGAGCAGCCGTGATATGAAAAACACTAGTGGAAAATTTATCGATTTTTTTATATGAAAAATTCAAGTTCGCAAAGAAAACTCCATTTTTGTTGAGGATTAGAAGCAAAAGTTTTCACGCACATTCGTGTTAAAGTTCCACCAGAGTAACTCTGTTTAAATTCCCGATAAACTTTAATTTCGTCTGACGCAAAAAAGAAAATCTGGATTTATTTTCCTTGTGAAATTATTGGTGATGATTTTATTTAAAAATATATTGAAGTTTCGACGACCGTGATATGAGAAAAACACAAGTGAAAAATATTTTTCACTTTTGTAAAACTTCACACTGTAACGACAAAACGTGAGTTGAAAAGTTGTCTTATCTCAGATTCTCCTAGTGTTCTGCATAATGTGGTCGGCTATCACAGTAATCGCATCGATCATCTTCGCCATCTATGCGGCAGATCGAAAACAATCTAATGTAATTCGTAAAAACTGTGATTCATTAACATGCGTTTTCGTTTCAGGTGGTGATATTATCGTCACTATTCGCGTGCTTGATAGCAGCACAGGCAGGAATAATTTTGTATTCGGAAAATAATAAACCATTGTTAAGAGAAGCAGTGACTAAAGGATTCGGTTGGGTAGTATGGGAATATGTAAAATTTCTGGGAATTTTAATTTTTGGCAAAATTTTGGTGTATATCCAAAATTTTCGGGGATTTTAAATGAACTCGGGCGGAAAAATTGTGAATTTTTCGATTTTCCGCAGTGTATGTAATGGAGAGCAGTGCGGGAATATATGCACATGTGTTGCTAGTAATATGGAATTTTTGAGGAATTTCTGCGAAATTATCGTTGATTTTTGTGTACTTATATCCAAAATCGTGCGTAATTTTTCATAAAATAGTGAGAAAACCTACGAGCTCAGTTGAGAAAACCAAACATATATTCCCATATTAATAAAGAGTATTACAATGATACAATAATCAGTGTGGTGAACTACTACATGTGTTGACGAGAATAAGGGAATTCTGAGGAATTTTTGTTGGGTTTTTGATCACTTCTACCACAAATCGCGTGTAAATTGTTGACAAATTAGCTTTGGAAACTTCTCGAGCTTAGCTGAGGAAAGCAAACATATATTCCTCCAACACACGTGAAGTGGCGTCGTAAAACTCGGTGAAAAACGCGTCGTGAAAACCGCAGTCGTGAAAAATGTTTTGCACCAGTGTTTTTCATATCACTAGGGCCGCCCGTGAAACTCCATTGAATACCAAATTTTTTTATACACTAGATGTGCATCGTGCATTTTAACCTATTTTCCTCAGCTGTTCCGAAACCCTCCCCGATTTGCGGTTTTTCTTTGGATGATCATCACAATCGGGTCTTTAGTAAGTGCGTCGCTCCGCTGTCATTATGCGCATTCTTTCACCAGGTTGTTTTTGGATTTCTAATATCAGCGTTAATCTCTACAATGGGTGAGCTGCGTACGGCTGGGCTTATCACATATATACTTATTGGTGTTGGATGGATGAGCGTCACCATCGGACTGGTAAGCTATCATAGGTCCCGGGTTCGATCCCCGGCAAGGGCATTTTTCTGCTTTTTTGGCTAATACGCGATATAGAGAAAAATTAGAGTAAATTTCAACTCCGTGTGAAGGAGTTTCATAACCCGTTTTACGTGAAGTGGTGAAAAACGCGATATTATTCGCGGTGATATGCAGTAGTCGTGAAATATGTTTTTCACTAGTGTTTTTCATATCACTGGGGCCGCCCGTGAAACTCCAATATACATAAGACGAGACTTTTACACCGACGTACTTTCGTGGCCTGGTGTTAGCAGCAGTGTGGAAGAATGTTGGAGGCAATATGGAAATTTCGGGAAATTTTGGGAAATTCTCATTGGTTTTTGCATACTTATTAAACTCGAATTTATGTGTAAACTTAGCTTTGGAAACTCCTAAACTCGGCTGAGGAAAGCGAACGTATATTCCTACTCCAACACTGTATAGGAAACTCCTGAGCTCAGCTGAGGGAAGCGAACATATATTCCTACTCCAACACTGTATAGGAAACTCCTGAGCTCAGCTGAGGAAAGCGATTACATATATTCCTACTCCAACACTGTATAGGAAACCCTTGAGCTCAGCTGAGGAAAGCGATTACATATATTCCTACTCCAACACTGTATAGCAAACTCCTGAGCTCGGCTGAGGAAAGCGATTACATATATTCCTACTCCAGGGCTTATTATCAGTCAGCTCGATAGGTACCCGAAACGCTACGCTCCGCCACTGTTATATTATATGTTCGCCCTCCTCAGCTGAGCTCAGGAGTTCCCTCATAAATCGTAGGAGTCCATATACGAAAGGATTTTCCCAAAAATTTTCATATTGTCACCAACACTTGTGATTGACCATGTGCATGTACCCCCACACACTTAAGTGTGAGCGGTTATCAAATTGAATGTTTTTTTTCGTTTTTCATTTCTAAAGAAAAATTTTTTGTTTCCGCTCAGTTATTTTCTTCGGTATTCCGAGATGTACGTCTTCGTGTTGGTGATGGATGGGAAGAACTACACGAAGAAATCGGGGGGTGAGTTAAAGTCATAGTGGACTTTCTGTGTAATTTTTTCACTTAAAAAATTATCGAATTCAGCATTTCTCGCTGATAAATTTGTGTTTCACGCTGGAACGATTAGATATAGCAATAAGCTACTATACACTGAAGTGGAAGGGTCTAGTCGTGACCGTTATTCATAAATAATGACGAGTGAAAAGTTCACTCCATATACGCCTTGTGCGCCCTACTACTTACATCTCGCTACCTTTGTTGTTCTGTTATGCTAGTCGGTAGAGTTAGTAGAAGTCGGACCGTGCACGTGGCGTCTCGAAATCCATAGATTTCATGCCTCTGAAATCGTCTCGTCTCGAGAACAGCGGAGCGAAGTGTTACACGATGTGCATTATATTCGTATAGCGTTCATCTGATTACTCAAATCTCGTGCGGTTTGTATAAATCGTGTACTGCTAGTATGGGATCATTATTATTATTCAGTGTGTTTTAGAGATTCGGAAACTATCGGGCGCCCAACCGGCGACAGCGGTAGATTGCAAAACTATTCGTAATTATGTCAGTTTCTCAGCGACAGCGACAACAGCGTTATGTTTAAAGTTGATACTCTAATTTAGAGTCTCTAAATGATGTGGAGCCAGCACTTATGTTCTATCAAGGTTTCGTAAACTAGTTACATCTGATACTATCTAGTAGTACACACTTGAGTCGAATTTAATAGTGTATATGATTATTTTATGGCGACAAGTTGAAATAAATCGGCAAAGGACGTATCGAATTCGTTCGCAATGTGGTGGCAACGACGACTACTGCATTGACGCGAGGTAGACTCGATGTTGTACACCAAACTCAACGGTGATCATCGGAGCATTGATAACTATATCAGCGGACAATAAGAGGAGAGACAATTATGTTAGATGATAGCTATAGAGAATCGGATGGCTTGGGGACAGGGTCTGTGCAATCCATTACAATCGAGAATGTGCCTCTATGAAGGTGAGCAACACTGATCCAACCAACTTGGTCGGACCAAGCACTCGCCACATTTTAACTGATTTTTGCGAGATCTGGTTATGCAGTAGGAAGCAGCATCAACAAGTGCTCTTATGGCTAGTACCTGTCCTAGACTGATCCTCTGTGGGGATTGGTTCGCTTCTGATTGCCCACATTTTGGACGTACAATCCACAGCTGTGGGAGGATAACAATCCGATGGAAACAGATGAGGTCGGTATGGTGGGATGAGTTTAACTCGGGAGTTTCGGGCCTGTGGTTGCAGCCCGTATACAACCGAGATACTAACTTCATCCAACTATAACACCTTGGCAAACCTGCACACCATGTTATCTTCCATTATATGAAATCCATATAGAGGGGGATGCGCGTTGGTCTTTCAGTGAAACTACATCAGGCTCTGATGAACAGGAGAGTTCTCTGACTTAGTATCACTCCCAATGATTCAGTGGGAACTAACTTTATCTGAAAAAACCCCGACCTGGGCAACAACGAAAAGCATCGAATTGTTACTGTCAGCAGGTCTGCGTTCGCAACGTCGGCACTATTATGGTGCTATAGCTCGTGAGTTTCCTAGACTCAGTTTCGCGTACGCCTTGAACTGTCGTCAGGGCATTCTTGAGATTCCGGGGTTGTTGCTCACCCGAGTTTCCCGATAACCACCCAAACCACTGTGTCTATACACAACCCGGTATTGGAAGAGATTAACGAAAAATATGATTCCTCAAAGTCTTACGGATACTAATAAATATAATTCGGCGAAGTAAATTCGCAGACTCCCGCTTTGATGACGAGAGGTGATGAAAGACTCTGTGTTTTCGCCCCGAAAACCCGAGTGAATTCAACCTGAATTCATCACCAGTCACAATAGCATCTTAGGCTCACAGATTGATCATAGTAGCAGTCAAAGGGACAGAGTTCGCAATCAGGGTTCGTGCTCGGATTCTTGCACTTTGGGTCACCACAACCTTGCATCAGATAAACCGTGAGGGCAACAATGGCGATGACGAAGATCATTGGGAAAATGGTATCGAAGAGCAGATATGATATCTGAGATACACAAATTGCAAACTGCAAATCTCTTCAGGAATCATGAGATTGATAGGACCTCACGAGGTCCACGAGCGAAATCGAAGTGAAGGGATATTCATAGTGGGAATTTCTGTTCAACAAAATGTGGGACGTAGGAATAATATGTGCGAGGACTCTATGAAGAACGTTTCCTTCCATGGCATGATTCCGAAGGTAAGATCTTAAGCGCACGGGACCCTGCAAGAGATCGTCCAGACCTCTTACGCACACTGGTGCGACCTGCCTACCAAGCTAAATTTAAACGAGTTGAAATTGGCTGATTATCCGTGTACGCATAGAAGTCTATGCTAATGAGTGCCTTCTCAAGTATGATTGAAACTGAAATTCTGTGACCAGAGATTGGTTTTGAAATGTCCGAATTCACGTGGTGCTGCGTGAGTATAGCGCGCGCTAAAGTCTCTTAAGAACAGTTTCACGGGAAATAGAAGGTTGACTCGGTGGATTGGGTTCCAAGGTCTTAGCCTTCAAGTGATACAGCAAATCACAGGCATGGTACGCTCTGTGACGTCTTCGAACTCATGCGGGGGTGAGAAATGTTAGATTTGGTACGTCTGGTCGCACACGCCTGACTTATCGGGACAATGATTTCCATGTTGATGTGTTGTTGAAATGTTCGATTTCACGTGGTGCTGCGTGAGTATGGCGCGAGCTAAAGCCTCTTAAGAGCAGTTTACGGGAAATAGAAGATTGACTCGGTGAACTGGGTTCCAAGGTCTTAACCTTCAAGTGATACAGCAAAGCACAGGCATGATGCGCTCTGTGACGTCTTCGAATTTACGCTCTGGGGTGACGAATTTTATATTAGATACGTCTGGTCGCACACGCCTCACTTATCGGGACCATGGTCCCGGACCATGATGCCCATGTTGATGTGTTGTAGATGGCCCGAGTTTAATATATGGCTCGATCGTTATGAATTACACTTTAATTGAGCATGTTGTCCAATAGTCAGGACTAGGCCATCTCGGAGACGGGGCGGAGCTCGCGTCAGGCACGCAAGAACGATTGACTCGATTGCCTCCCGCGCCGAAAATGGATGACGCAGGTTCGATTTCCACGAACGTCACTTCTAACGCAATCGATTTTTCGGCGGCTTTCGCAGCAGCTGCTGATGAGTTGGTCGAGTACACAGGATTTCACATTTTTGGCAAGATCCCCACTGGGGATCACTCAGGGTGTGATGTGAGTGGAAATTCAGCACGATGTTCTGTGTTTGGAAATTTCAAGGTGGAAATTTCCGGAATTTCCAGGAAATTTCCGCCAAGGTGCTTCCGGGCTTCTGCGCTAGCGCGCAGTGGGGATCGAGGAAGTACAAGAGAAGCAAGATCACGAGTTGGAGAGTCGTTTCGTGGGTCCATGCGTTACATTGTCGATTGCGTGTCGCGTTCAGTTCGGGAGCCAATGATGACTCGAAAGGGATGTAGGTGCGTCAATCACGATCACGACTGACGATCCGTCAAAGCAGCTTTGTGAGAGACAGGTTTTCGCTCTTGAAAGACTTTGTTTTTGGGTGGTCGAATTCTGTTCAGTTTCTCGAAGAAATCTGGTTTATCCATGTCTTTGAAGGCTTTCCTGTTATATTGCCTATCTCTTAATGGCACTTTCGTCGCGTAGGAGAAGCTCTGTCTTCGACCCCCGACCACATTACCTGGTGAAAACTCGGGCTGAGCTTGGCCTCCCACCGCTGTAGTACAGGTGCTGTAGTACAGAAGCAAGTATTACTTGCCAAGTAACTAGGTTACTGTAACCCCAAGTTGAACTTCAAGACTTGAACTTAGTTCAAGTTCAAGTTCACCTTGCTTCAAGTTGTTTCAAGTGGCACCTCATGACGCACGACGAACGTGGCGGTCCAGTGGATGATGAACTCGACATGGAAATGCTTGGGATCAAAAGTATATCTCCTTATTACTTACCATGGTATGAATTACTGTGCAGTTGCATCTCCGAGCGTTACAGGCGAGCGAGAAAATAGATGCGCTCGACCGAGCGAGGTGAATTGCCATGAATCGCCATGCGAAGACTTGTAATCGCTCGCCTTGATGATCGATTCCAGCCGTTGGGGCTTTTACGCACAACAACCAGTTCTGAGCATCACTACGATACTCTATCTATGCGGAGAGCTATTCTTAATGCAGAACGAGCTTTTTTATAAACGAAACGTGAGTAGAGATCAGTAAATAGCCATTTTTGTTAGATTTCCTGGAAATTCAAGGGTCGTGGAAATTTTTCCGAAATTTCCTTCGGAAATTTCAGGAATGGAAATTAACGCTTGCAAAAATCACACCCTGGGATCACTGGCGGCGCCAGTCACGGACAGTTATCCGTGACGCCAGTCGTCACTGTTCACCTGAGGCTGGCTCGATCGATGGTATAGAAACTATGCGTCGGGCCAAGGGGGCATATTTTAACGCTATCAAGCTGGCAAAGGTGAACCATCTAGAGATATAATTCAGCAAAATGGATGAGGTGGGGGTCCACAGACGTTTCAAAACCCGCACTCCAACCGTGGCCACATACAGTAAAGCCGAGATCCTCGATCAATTCTTCGGCTTGCGGGAGCGCCCCCCCCAGCCGCTCGGACACGAGGAGGAAGACTACTCGGCAGCTGAATCAGCTGAGCTGATCGCGACATAAACTGGAAGGCTCTGGGAGGCCCCTTAGCGAACGAAGAAGTGGAGATAGCTATACGCAACCTCAAAACTCGTAAGGCCTGCGGTCACGATGGCATCTTCTATCATAGAAGTTCTATGAACATGTGAAGTACGCATGCCAGAATGTGCCCTGGTTCAGCGATGCGGTAGAAGGAGTTTTCAACTCGATACTCAGATTGACACATTACCCGACGGTGCTCAAACGTGCGGACCTTTGCATGCTGTATAAAGCTAATGGGCGACTTGGTCCAAAAGCGTGGCGACCGGTAGCACTGACATCATTTTTAGGTAAGTTTTTCGAGCTACTACTGAAACGGAGACTCCTGACGGCACTCGGGCCTCCTCCGGGATACGTACATGGCTTCGTCCCTCACCGCAGCACGATCACTGCCGTGCAGTCGATCATCCGTCATCAGCCGCAACAACCTGAGGAGGCACGCACCATAACCGTCACGTTCGATGTCGCTGCGGCTTTCGACAGAATTGGTCATGCTCATATCGTAGCAGAGATCTCTGCCATTACGGGAATTTCGCAATGGAGAGCTCTCGTGCAATATTACTTGCATGTTGGAGATGTGCATATCGATGGTCTCACAACCTACCGAGCAGCGGGAATTCCCCAAGGCGGGGTGCTCTCGCCCGTGTGCTCGGCATCGACGTGGCGAGTCGGAAGAAGGATCACAGATCTCAGGGGTCCCTTCTCTACCGAAGTGGCTATCTATGCGGATGATTCCTGCGTACGGATTGTTGCTCTAGATGTGACTGGACTCTCCGCTGGTGTGAGACAGTCTCTGAGTACTCTTTCTGCGTGGTCGATCGAGGCAGAACTCGCGACCGACCGTGAGAAAACAGAAGCACTCGCTGACTCTGATGCGACTGCTGATCTGCTGAAAGAAGAGCTAGCCGGTACTGACGCTCAATTCATCAGCGAGAGCATTAAGAGGTCCATCAGATGGCTGGGACTGGTGATCACAGCATCTCTCTCCTGGCGCAGTCACCTGGACTTCGCCTTCGGTAAAGCCTTGAGGTGCTTAAGCACAGTTCGCAGGATGCTGGGAAAATACTGGGGCATATAGCCTAGCTTGGCGCTCTGCGCTTGGCGCATGCACATTGCCCCAACTCTTCTATATGCGGCAGAGCTGTGTGGCGAGTGCTCGTCGTTTGAATGGTTCCGAAAGCGCTTCTCTCGCTTGGAGGCGACGCTATTTCGATCCATCTCTGGACTGAGCCGCTCCGCCTCGACTGTAATCGCTGCGCGTTGCTTAGCTATGGTCACAGAACCACTCTGGATTCAAGCGAGGATTCGATACGCCACATACCATCTGCACAAGATTGGACACGCCGAAGATCGGAGAGTCCGAGCGGTGCTCTCCAAATGGGGTATAGATGATTGTTCGCGTGCTGAAGTTTCACGATCGACGGGTTATCTGCAAACTGCGGGCCTGACTCATGGGTGGCACTGTGAACTGAGTTCCGGACTGCCCCCATCTTTCGACGATTCCGCCCACTTCTTCTTCACTGATGGCTCCGTCACTGGCCGGGGAAATGTGTCAGCAAGAACGGGATCTGGAGTCGTCAGGCATGTACCGGGACATCGGCCTGAGTATGAGGGACGCTGTTACATCACAGGACCTCACGCAAACATCTCGCAGTGCGAAGTGGTTGGCCTATGAGCTGCGGTTTCATGGGCTCTAGAGCTGCGTGCTGAGGGCGATCCTCGGAAGATGATCTATTTATGCTGCGATTCTCAAGCAGCGATCAAGTCTGTGGCCAATGCTCTTTGCCATAACGGCCTCGCTTCTACCAAACTGACTCAGGACGTGGCGAGCCTGATTCATCGTTGGGTAGGTCAGGATACGGAGGGATATCGAATCTGTTTGTGGTGGGTCCGTGGTCATGCTGGCCATTGGCTGAATGAACTAAGTGACCTGCATGCAGGACGTGGGGCCCGGAACGGACCCGATACTATCTATTATGAAGTTGAAAGACCAGTATCTTTCACAAAAGCACAGCTAATACACTTCTCCCATGTGCACATGGAGGAGAAGTGGAGGTGTCAGAGAGGGCGGTTAGCTGTGAACAGACTCGGTCTCGGCCTTGGCCGTGAACAACTGTCTTCTATATTTGAAAGATGTATTGGATGAAAGATCGGGGATCGGCGGCGTTTGTTCGAACTCCTCACCTTCCACAGCAGCACGAAGGGCTATCTTCGACACCCTTCAGCCGATATCACGGATTGGAAATGTCGCTACTGTCGGTCTCATAAAGAGGACCTACCACACTTCTTGTGGTGCCCCTCGAGGAAGATGTGTACACTCAGAAAGAAAATCTGGGGCGCGGATCCACTCCTGTCAGCACTAGCAGGAGAGAGACCGCAACGCGGACTCACCCTGGTCCGCGAGGCGTGAAGGAGTCGTTACTTCTCGATGTATCAAAGAGCAGCATTGTGGTAACCACCTCCCATGTAGGGCATTGCCGAGGCGGATGTATTTGAGGAGAGCGTGGTAGGTGAGATCTATTGTGTGTCCGTGGAAAGAGACTCGAAGGTTGACACCGACAGGAATCAGTCCTTCCAAAAGGTGATCGACGTTGCCTCGATGGAGACATGCATTCTCATCAGAGCGACGGGCCCTGGTTTGCATCCTCCTCGTGAGAGAGAAGGCGACAACGAGGCGATGAAAGCGGCACGACGCAGAACTGACCGCCAGGCTGCTGTATTTTATATGCTATGTGAGGTTGATGGTTCGCTGCCCTTGTCGAGGAGTGGTTGTAGCTCGATAGCCTCTGTGAAACAATGAGTCGAAATAGATCTGTCGTGGTATTCGAGTACCTGCTCTATCAAATTGGCGTATTTGATTGAGTCGATTCAACTTTGCTCGCTCGCTGGTTTACCCTGAACACTCTACCATACTCTTGTCGAATGTCTGTTCAACAGACTCTGTTGTCCAATAACATCCATTCATTTAGTTAGTTGGGAGTAGTGGGTAGTGGGGCGAAAGCATGATACGTTGCTACAGAACTAGTGAGATCCGAAAGTCTCAACCTCGAAGTTCTGTCGAAAAATTCTCCGAAACTTGCAACGCTGGATGCTTCGCTCCGCATAAGTAGCAGCGAGATTATGAGATACTCTCATCTGCCACAGAGAGTCAATTCGGTGCTCTCTGGGCCAGAGCCTCTGGCCTATGATCCTCGCTTGACTACTCATGCCTCCCAAACCAACTTAAACCGGATGCGGGCGGGTGGGTTCAGGAAAGTCCCCATTAACTAAATGGTAACTGGATATTAATCGATCCAACACCCCCCAACCACATCACAAACCATTCGCTCGTTTGTTGACCTAGCCCAATAAATTGACCTTCATTGAATGTTGTTTTTGTGTAAGGTAACGCTGGTGTGGTACGACAATTCAATGAGTTGTCTCAGGAGAGGAAGTGGAAGTTGAGCGGGGAGGAGTGAGTATTTTATCGCACTGTGGCATGGTTTTTCGGATACAGTTTGGACTTTGCATCACTCGCGTTCCACGGTTTTACCGTGTGTTATCCCTTCCAAAGCGACAGGGTGCTACAGCTTTTCTTCTTACCGCCCACACAACAGAGACTCTCTGTCAGAGAGTCGAAAACAGTAGTTGCGCATTTGCTAGTATGTGGGGCGTTAGGGCCCATGATTTAAAACGGGAATGTTCTTCTTGAAGCTGTAAATCGTTGAAATAGAGTTCAGGTTGGTGTTGTTGCAGGCGGGTATTTGGTCCTTCTTCGAGCAGCAACACTCGCTTGGAGAGCTGTGAATTCGAGTGTGCTGAGTTCAGTAGAGTTGATCGCCATAGGATGGTCCTGGTTGATACAGCTACGAAGAATCTTCTGGTAGGCTTTCGAGAAAGGTGTGGTATTGAAGCCTTGTGTTAAAGTGTCGACCTTGGATGCTGACGCACCGCCAATTGATAGACGCAATTGATAGATTGGAGAGAAGGTCAATGGAATAATTGCGGACGGATAGCATCGAAAAAAATAGAAAACAAAAAATTTCAAACAAAAAAGGATAGGCTCGATAAGCGAGTCTTGCTTACTAATAAGGGGGATATCTTCTTGTACAAGAGGCACACGCTGTGTCGAAAGAGTGCAAGGTTTGCGCCACAGGCGCGGTGATGCCAGTTAACAGACTGTTCATCGGGTCGTGACGAAATCCTCTCTATGTTGATTGAATCAACTTGATTCGATGGAGATGGATTGGAAGGATTGGTCAATCCATCGAGATGGATTGATTGAGATGACGTGCACGGGACGAGGGAACTAGAGATGTCTTCCGAAGAGCATTCTCAACTTGAGAATCTCAAGTCTGACTTTTCGCGGGTAGTACCGAATGTGACGAAGACGATTTATCCTCGCAAGCTGGAGGAGATGTTGAAAGAACGTACCCGTGAACGTCGGACATGTGGAACTTAGAGTGGACAACAGAACATAGTTTTAGACAGGTCCACGAGGTTGAACTTGGAAGGAGTTTCAGGGAGATAAAAACCAGTGACAACTTGAGGAACGATGGCTTGGCGAGATTCGCGCTTTCTTGTGCGCACAATCGCGCAAGGTTTTGTTCTAGTCTTGTACGAGGGTTCTACCCTAGTCCGTACTAGTTACTAACTTGTACAAGCTCACATCTATATCGAGTGAGGACGATATGGATAACAGAGTCTTCAGTGTGTTGCAACGGTTCGTGGCCATTGATTGCACGCTATTGGGCGTCGGATCATTCGCAATGGGTTTGCGTCATCACTGCCTGGCTTTCACTGCTGTTGGGGCATAATGTTTCACCTGTTTTCGATAGATCACGCAAAAAGTTTGAAGCAGCCTCGAAAGCGATAATAAATGGGAGGAATATTACATCTTTATCAGGGATATAGCAATGATGCGCGAGAAGTTAGGCCACAACGCGTGAGGCTACGTGCGCACACGCGGGGTGGAGAGGAAAGGATGAGTTTCAGCATGAGGCGCTTCTGGGCTGGTGTACCATAATCCATTGTCCATTGTATTTGTTTCTGGTCGAACTCCGAGATTATATCTTCTGCCTCACATCTGTCGCGTATGGAGGTACCGCTACGACGATCTAGGCAGCCGCCTCCAACGGTGATCGTGTCTGGCTTGACTTCTTCGTTGGTCTATCCGTGTGCGGTTTGTGGCAGGTCAACGCCGCACAAGGTGGTGCGGAATCTTGTTTATTGATAGCGTTTAACGTGAAGTACGCGAGTTGATCGATATGGTTGAAGCAGAAGGACGCTGCACATCGGCTACGTGCGTCGTCGAGTTGCACAACATCTCTACTTCGCGGGATCGGTCGGCTGGGTCCCAGGCTCTAGGAGGAATGCAGGAAGGCCATGTTGCTTGCTCAGGAAGACTATTTCCAAACCAAACATGATCCCAATCGGCTTATGTGTTGTGCTCTTCGTCACTACAGTCACCGGAGAAGTCATCTACCGCAACTATAAGGCAGGTGACAAAATGTCAAGTACTTTGTATAACCTCATGTGCGTGAGGAAGTCCAGTCACCCCCCCCCTGCTTCGTAGCAGTCGATATGGACGAAGGGCCTCATGTAATTATTATGCAGAGAATGGCTCCTGCTGTCGCTCATCTGCGCGTTGGAAATGATTCGCTCTCAATTTGAGCATAATTGAGCATGGACGATCGAGCAGCTGCCACGTGCTCACGTCACAAATGGCACTGTGGTGTCTCTGGTGTCATATAATACCAACTGCTGTTGTGTGACGCCTGCAAGCCTTGCAGTGCAAGGCCATCCTAAGTGAACTCATAGACTTAGCATTCTCTAGTAGGAGCTTCATGCTCCTACACAGTTTGTTGTCAGGTGGTTATTGGCGCCGTTAGTATGGTTATTCCCTACTCCATGACGAAGAAAGAAGAGAAGGCTATTAGAAAGAAAATGTGAGCCGTGAACTTTACCATCCAAAAAATTATTTTTTCCAGGCGACATCCAGGGGCGAAAGGTGATTTTGGTTACATAGAATATGTAAGCCGTTGATGACACTTGGAGAGGATCCCTGACATTTTTCGCTGCAGTGCTCAAAGTCTATTTGCAACATAGTCTGATATTTTCCACCACGTTTGTTCCCGCAATGATAAAAGTGAAAACTTTTTGCTCTAGTATAATTTTCCACTCATCCATATCTTAGTATGTAAGCATGAAACGATAGACAGTTTTCGGCGGGTGTATTTCCATCACTGTAAGGCATAGCGTGTTGAGAAATCATGTCGAAACCCCCCGGAATTGGAGCAGAAATGACTTACTAGACTATTACAAATTAGTACAGAGCACGGTAGAATCCATGCAACACTGTACTCCTGACCGGAAGGCTCGCGATCATTCATCAGGAGCCCTCCGATCAGGAGGGCTCATCAGCGATGAGCCTTCGAGTATCACTGTTTGTTATTCGAACTCCGAATTTCGGGTTTGTTGCTGGCCATTGATGAACCACTCGCTATGAGTAATAGGATCCCTATCGATATCCGCATCCCATTTCAATCTCAGGTGGAAGTTGTAGAATCCTGGAGAGGGAAGGGTATCGGCACTAAAATGTTGAAACGTGCCATCCTCAAGGTGAGGATCCATTTTCGTGACCTTCGGGCTCCGGGACGAGGAAGTCCAATACTGGCCACGCACCGTCCTCATGCTCAATACTCATTAACAAGGAGGGGAGCGGGCCCCTCTCTCCAAGAGACTTCGAGTGATCCGTTCATTCTCAGGCCATCGGTGAATTCTGGATTATTGCTTTGTCCCTGAAGGTTGATTACGAGAATTTGCCAGCCATCAAGGTCTACGAGAAACTCGGATTCAAGAAGATCCTGAGTAAGTTGAGACTCCCTGCTGAACACTGGATAGTTTTCCTCTAAAGCTGCTCGCTCACGAGGAACTGTGTCGTTCACCTTCAGGAGAAGGCGATCTCCTCCTTTACACATTTTTCCCTCGATGAATTTGCCCAAAGTATGCCGCTCCCGTAAGAGATATGATGGAGGCACCATGGATTCTGACCCCCGCAGTATAAGGGGACGTCTTATTCCCGGACTTCTACCGGGTTCGAACATATCAATACCAAGAGACTTCTTATCATCTTTTCTCTTCCCTCACAGACGATGCGTTAGCGAAGGCAAGTAAGGGAGGGATTTATGCGCCCAGAAAAGTCTCCTCAACAAGGCTTCATGTCGCAAAGGCTCCGCGGCAAAGCTCACATCAGAAATACCTTATCCGACGCAGTATCGGAATATCCCCTTATAAGAAGGAGGCTACTTCCTTTTTGGAAGGGGATATTCGGACACTGCGTTTGCCCCCTCGAGCCAAACGAACACGTGAGGAAACGGAAAACTCTCCTGGGACGATGCTGGTGCATATATCTGTTGCCATCCTAATCGCCCGTAGCACGTAATATGTCGCTACCGAGCGAGAAGTTAATTTAATGAGCAAAAACCACTAGCATCAGCCAGATAGATCGAGACCCGAGACAGACTATGATGGTCCTAGTGCGCACTCGTTGTTTAGCACGGAAATTGTAGTTCTTCGATTGTAGATATCGTATTATCATGTCGACATCAGTAAATGTCGAATATTTATAGCAATCAGTACAGTTCGTTCTTCCTCATTTATGCAAAGTTGACTCAAGGCAATCTCAACAGTGCCACAATAACAACAACATGTAGCGGCAAGCGGAATCATGAACAACTCCATTTTCATCACTTACCCTCAGCATGAGAGGATCCACACAACTCTTCCTCTTCGTCCTCATCCACGTCGCCAAAGCCCGACGATTCTTTTTCCCACATCGCTTGCAATCTCGGATCAGTCAGAAGTGCCTCTTCCAACTCAGTGAATTTCTTAATAGCTTGTATTTCATGTCGGGCCAGCCGTTGCTCCAAAATTTGAATCCTGAGATAAAGATTAAGTACACCTAGTTCTAGACAGATAAATGTAACAAAAGCAACATTCATACGAACGTAAAGAAATGATTATATTCCAAATAGATACAGCACTGGGACGATCGATATCGCGAGAAATTTTCTCCGAGGAATGCAAACGTTTATCTACCCGTTTTTTGAAGCCAGCGAAGGAAAAATGAAAATTTTTTATTAGTTTCCGTATATTTCTACTCCGGAACGTACTCCGATGAACGCTTGGAGCCGCCTCAATGATTCTATCATTGAAAAAACAACAGAGTGTTGTCATTATAAATATCTGCTTTTTTTCACTGCTCAACAGCATGGTGCTGTATAAGTCACCTAAAGTATCCCTCTATTCCTAGGCGTTGATTCTTACTACAAGATGGCATTTATCTATGATGAATGTAGTCATAACGCGATCACGATTTTCCGCGTCTGTCAGAATGGCGTGGTATAAGTAAACTATATTGTCCCTTTAGCGCTGAGAGTCAATCATGTTCTCTTTGATTCTCTTTGAGTATGACTAACCTCCATCATGTTTCTCAACAGAGGGAATTATAACAAGTGTCGATTCCTTCACGAACAAGTAGGGGTGTTCAACAAGACCGCTGGGTAGAGTTTTACACGTGAAATCCTAGGAACGTTTTTGAAGCTCAGGAGAGATCTACTGATCGCGCTGAATGAATTTTCAAGTGTTTTTCTGTGTGGCCGATGGCGAGCAAGCAAGAATCAACCATTGATACAACACCGTCGAGATTTCCAGTCGCATAATAACAATCTCTTACCGGAACATAGCCAAAGTTTGGTACTGTTCGAAATCAGATTCAGCTCTCCCTTGCTGGATTTCAGGACCACCGCGACGTTGAATTTGAGCACGCCGTTTTTTCAATGCCTCCTGCAGAAAACATATCAAAGCATCAGAGATTTTATTCAACTTAGTGAATTTTCCGTTATGGATGAACCGAGCATTCGACAACTACTACCCCAACACTTCATATCTATGCACCTTTCAACTTCTATTATAAATGCGTTCGAGTTTTCATAAGTATATAGTATTCGGCGACTTCCAATATCTACACCATGCAGCTCCCGACAACATCGCTGCATACACGATTGCTCCAAAGTGTGTTATCATCGCTACTCTGAAACATACTCATTTTTTTCTCATATTCTCATCATCTTTTCCTATACACATTCTGTTTTATCGTTATCACATCTACACTAACTCCTATACCACAATAACGACTACTGCTCAAACCACAATAACGACTACTGCTCAAACCACAATAACGACTACTGCTCAAACCACAATAACGACTACTGCTCACACCACAATAACGACAGAGAGACTTACTTGTTCCTCTTCTAACCTTTTCTGAATAACCGCCGCCCTATCCAGGAGCCTCTTGCGGAAGTCACTTTTACACCTGCGATCAATTCAATGACACTTTGCCGAGAAAATCGAATTACTTCTTAACAACAAATTCCGCCTGGAGTGCATCTAGCTGTTCTCCACGGAACTCTGCCAAATACGGCATCAAAATGTCCATCTAAAGAGTTCATGTTTTCAACCTGGTCGAATTCTAATTCGCCAATACAACTTAATTGCTTCAAAAAACAAAATTTGTGATACTAGCGACATACGGGGAGTGGTTCTAATAACAAGAAACTTACTCTTCACATAAAGTGCACCCACATATTGATATAGGAAATATTCAAGTGAATTCATCTACTTTATTATTTTCATTGTGACTTTCGCTTCCAAAATTAATGATATTAGCGCGAATCAGCTTGATAATTTCAAACTAATTCCGATGAGATTTCGCGATATGCCCACTTTTTTCTCAGCTATTTTCGTCGCACTATCCTCCCCATATTCCTCCGAACCATCTTCCAGCGGCGTGACTTCAGCCAAAGCTCCTCTGGCGTAATCGTATACGTTTTTCATCAGCACCTACATAATAATTTTTCACGAAAAAAAATATTAAAAAAAATTGTAGTTTCACCCGTTTTGTGTAAACTCGGTGAAAAACGCGATATTATTCGCGGCCTGTAGTAGTCGTGAAATATGTTTTTCACTAGTGTTTTTCATATCACTAGGGTGAAACTCCATTATTAATATTTTATATAGCCATACCTTAATATTGATAATATTTATACTAGTAGTCTATTGGAGTTTCACCCGTTTTACTGTGTTTCTCACTAGGGTGAAATTCCATTCAACTATATATAAACAACATATCACATCTAATGCAATTGAACTGCGTTCATACTACTCGCAGACTGATATTCCTTCACTATGAATTTCTCTTCTTGTAATGTGAAGATTCGCTCTAATTGTGTAATTGTATCTTCTTTTCCTTAGCTACATAGCGAGCTAAAGGATCGCTTATTGGGTGAGAGCCAAGAACATGTGTTGTTACTTTTCCTTATGCACACTATCTTGCATCCCCCCAGTAAAACAGAAACCGACCACGACATTGTATTGTCTACAACATTCCCGAAATTCATAAAAAATGATGACGTTAAACTTACCAAATTTCGCTGAGAAGCCACAGTATCTCCTCCCTTGTTATGAGCACTTTTTCCAACATCAACGGGTGGACCAGCAAAATCTGCTATCGCCGCAGCTGCACTCGCTGAGTCCAGACTTTCACAATAAGGATATCAACGCTACTCTACCTTTCTGAACTCCTTCATTTTGACTCATTAATCTCACATTCTTCACTTTGTTTTCCTCTTTACGACGTAATACCATCTCAGAAGTAACTACAACGAACATTTTCTAGTCATTTTACGTCGATACTTATGCGCTTTTTTTCCAACGTTACTTAATTTTAACGCATATTTATACTTTTTTCACATTTTTTAAATTCTTCTCGGGTAGATTTATCCTCAACTGCATCGAATTTCGAGCTACTTTTTCTCGCCAAACATCTCCGGTATACTTCTTTTACTCGTACGTCAAATTCTATGAAAATTTTAACCCAATCTTAGTTGACCACCCTCGACGATGCACTCCTGCTTCTGCGAAATATGCGTGAACCAATCGCGCTCATTTCACTCCTACATACGATATCATATAATCATACAACATAAGACTTGAAAAATGGTCACTTAAAAATTTGCTGAAATTTTCAATACCTTCTACAGGAAAAAAAAACAGCGTATATACAACAACAATTCTTCTATACAAAATAACGCGAATCCATTAGAAAATTCAGCGAGGAACGGTATAACTAGAATCTAGTCATCTCACTTTGATTAGTAGTCTCAATGAAGCTATGCTTAGCCGTTTTCTCGAGTTTCAATAATTGCAACAACTGCATAGGTGTCGGCAGTTTGATATCATCCCCTGCTCCAATTCGGCTGAGCTTATCCAATCTACCAAACACGAAAAACCACAATCACCACGGAAATTTTTTATGGAAACAGAATTATACGAACGAACTCACGACGAGTGAAACATTCACTGATCACAAGCAGTGAAACAAATAAACATGACCTACAGAGAAACGATGTTGTAGTCGCTGAAGCGAAAACATGCTACCGCGAAATCGTTCCGATTGGGGATTCCCCAGAGTCGCTCAATCGATGAGATTGGTTTCGTAAAGGGGGAAGAGTCAACGATTAAAATATAAGAGTGAAAATGAAAAAAAACTGCATTTCTACACATCTTTATTTCCCAAAAAGTTGATCACTGGAGTTTCACTCGTTTTTCGTGAAGTGGCGTAATACTCCATGTGAAAAACGCGATATTATTCGCGGTGATATGCAGTAGTCGTGAAATATATTTATCACTAGTGTTTTTCATATCACTAGGGCCGCCCGGGAAACTCCAATATAATAGTTATAAAATTAATAACTCCATTAATACACATTATAATTAAATATTCATATAATAAAGTATATACGAAACTCCACCGAACAAGACCTACGTCAGAGATTGCCCGTCAGGGGTTTTATAAAAAGTCAACTGTTGGCCCATCAGCCGTCCTTCCGGACGGTGATAAGTAATGCGAATACACTTCTTAGGGAGGTGAAACACAATCTTACCTGACAAAAAATCGCCTCTATAGCTCAGTGGTAGAGCGCTCATCTACTAACCACCAGGTCGTGAGTTCGATCCCAAGGACGTTCATAATTCACTGCGAATATTCAACTAGACCCAATCATATCAACACCAACTCAGATTCACTCCACCGTTTTTACTGCACAACTCCGTTTTTCCCCATACTTCGCATAATTTCACATACACGTAAAACTCCATCAGATATTCCACAACTATGTACCCATTAGCTATCGAACTATATGTTTCATATGCACGCCGTCCCACTAGAGGCTCTCATAAATAATTCTATCGATTTTATATTTTCATTCATCCTGAGCAACTCTGTAACTCATCCACTTCGTATCAAGAACTCCGCGTTTTTCACCGAGTATTACGCCACTTCAATTGAAACGGGTCGTGAGAGTCCATCGAAAATTCCACTTATGTATTCAGAAGCTGTTCGGAGTTTCACCCGTAATATGAAAAACATCTTTCACATTTCAATTTGCGAAAAATGCATCTGAGCAGCGAATATTACACATCGCGTTTTTCACATGGAGTACAACGCTACTTCACGTAAAACGGGTAAAACTCCAACCAACATCGCCCCGCGATAATAAAACCCGACTTTCTTACTGCACAACTCTGTAATTCCACACGTTTTTTCATTCACCACATATTCAGGAGCTCGATACTTGTGTGAAATCCTCGTCATCGGTACATTTCCAATACTCTCTAAAAACCGTTCCATCGCTAACCAACTCACCATTAACGTACTCACCAATCGGCAAACTCGGTAGACTTCTGCCCACCACACTTCCCATCAGTTCACGGTCTAATTTCACTGAGTGATACTCCAACATATCATCGCGATCGATGAAATACTCCTATGAGGAAAAAAAATAATATTTTTTCTCCCGGAAAAAAATTTCACTTTAATTTTTTCCCCAATTTTCTCAACAGTTCGTTCCAATCTATCTGCCCTTCCCTCGTGATAGTACTCCATAATTCTCACGCGCTCATCTATGTCGACCAAAACCTGTGAAAATAATATCAGTCGAGTTACACGGGCGGCCGTGATATGGAAAAAACATATTTCACGACTACTGCATATCGCCGCGAATAATACCGCGTTTTCACGGAATATTACGCCACTTCACGTAAAATGGGTGAAACTCTAGTGTTGGAGTAGAAAAATATGTAATCGCTTTCCTCAGCTGAGCTCAGGAGTTTCCTATACAGTGTTGGAGTAGGAATATATGTATTTGCTTTCCTCAGCTGAGCTCAGGAGTTTCCTATACAGTGTTGGAGTAGGAATATATGTAATCGCTTTCCTCAGCTGCTGAGCTCAGGAGTTTCCTATACAGTGTTGGAGTAGGAATATATGTAATCGCTTTCCTCAGCTGAGCTCAGGAGTTTCCTATACAGTGTTGGAGTAGGAATATATGTAATCGCTTTCCTCAGCTACTGAGCTCAGGAGTTTCCTATACAGTGTTGGAGTAGGAATATATGTAATCGCTTTCCTCAGCTACTGAGCTCAGGAGTTTCCTATACAGTGTTGGAGTAGGAATATATGTAATCGCTTTCCTCAGCTACTGAGCTCAGGAGTTTACAAAGCTAACTATAGGAGTTTATATACGAATTCGGGTGAAAATGTACAAAAACTAATGATAATTTCCTCAAAAATGTTCACCAATACATGTAGTTGACCATGTGCACATTTTCCAGCTTCCACTTAAATAACCCCAATTTTCAGAGCTGCAAAAAGAGTTCGCTTTCCTTAGCTGATAATTTCCTTAGCTGATGGTTTGTGGAAAAACACGACAAAAGTACAAACGCTAACGAGAATTTTCCCAAAAAATTTCCTCGCAGTTTTCATGTTGTGTTTTATTGTATATAATAATGAAATTTCACCCGTTTTTCGCGAAATGTGAAATGTGTTTTTCACTAGTGTTTTTCACATCACTAGGGTGGTGAAACTCCATTTAACTATATGAAATGGTATTAGAATAATAATTAACATTAATATTATTAATATGTATATCATTGGAGTTTCACCAGTTTTACGTCAAGTGGCGTAAAACTCGGTGAGAAACGCGATATTAATTCGCGGTGATATGTAGTAGTCGTAAAATATGTTTTTCACTAGTGTTTTTCATATCACTAGGGTGGTGAAACTCCATTGTTGTTTTCATATATGTTTCTCACTTTTAGTGCACTCGAACGTCCATGATCGAATTCCTCGCGAATTGCAGCGTCACCCAGATACCTGCAAGTAAAACATTTGTGATTTTTTCACCAACTGAGGAAGTTTTATAAGAAATATATTTTCGTTTTCCTCGCCTAAGCTCAAAATTCTAATACAAGTCTACAAAAACAAATAAATTTTTTTTTCAGAATTTTCATATTATCACCAACACGTGTGTAGTAGCACACAGTGTTTTAGGAATAAATTCTCGCTCTCCTCAGCCGAGCTCACAAATTTCCAAATCTACAAATTTCACGAATTCGGGTTACAAAAAATTTCCCCAAATTTTCTCACAATTTTCCTCCCCTTACTTTATTCGCGTTTGCAAGGAATCTTTTCGTTGTTTGAATATCTCCGTTATCATCACTGGTATCCGCATTCGTATATCCTTAAATCGAGTCACCCTGATAAAATTCCATTCGTCGCAACACGTTGGTTAGCAACATAAACATGTGAAAAAAGTTGGAGTTTAACAACCCGTTTTACGTGAAGTGGTGAAAAACGCGATATTATTCGCGGTGATATGCAGTAGTCGTGAAATATATTTTTCATATCACTAGGGTGGAACTCCATTGATGAATAATCAACAAATAAGAACAACTAATATCACCACACAAAAATCGTATTAACACGTGCGGCGAAAAAAGCTATTTTTCGCTTCTAATTTACGTTTTACAGAACTGTCACTAAATCTGTCAACTTACCTTTGCACCATACCATCAGGCTGTGAACCCACTGAGAATTCCTCCAAAGTCGCTTTCAAGTATTTCTCTATTTTAACTCCTTTATCACAGAATCGTGTAGCATATCTGCATGATGTGTTGGTAAGAATATGATGGAAAATTTTCTGGAAATTTCGGAAAATTTTCGTTGAAAAACTTCGATCACATATCTGCGTATATTCATAAATGGGTATGCATACACATGTATTGGTGAAAATATGATAAAATTTTTAGGAAATTTCGGAAAATTTTCGTAGAAAAAACTCCATCACAGAATCGTGTAGCAAATCTGCATACAGATATACACATGTGTTGGTGAAAATATGATGAAAAATTTTTCAGAAAATTTCGGAAAATTTTCGTATAAAAATCTCGATCACATATCTGCGTATATTCATGAATGGGTATTCATACACATGTATTGGTAAAAATATGATAAAATTTTCAGGAAATTTCCTAAAATTTTCGATGCTTTTTCCACATTTTTACCCAAGATTTCATGTAGATTTTTTCCCGAGCTCAGTTGAGGAAATCAAATACATATTCCTCACAAATCTCAATTTTAAAATTCAAATTTTCGGACGAATTTTCGCTGATATAATAATAGCGTTTCACCCGTTATACGTGAAGTGGCGTCGTAAAACTCGGTGAGAAACGCGGTTTTCGTGGAATATATTTTTCACTAGTGTTTTTCATATCACTAGCGCCGCCCGTGAAAGTCCAATATACTTCTAAGCTTCTACTACCGTTCTCTTGTTATCACTGCAGGACTAGTCCAACTAGGTGGCAAATCGTCCACAGTGAGTGGCCTTGAAATGTCGTATACTCCGATGAGGTGCTCCAGAGGAACTACATATGAAAATTATGAGAAAAATTTTGGGGGAAAATTCTTATTGGTTTTCTGTACACTTCTACCCTAGTTCTATAATTAGCTTTGGAAACTCCTGAGCTCAGTAGCTGAGGAAAGCGATTACATATATTCCTACTCCAACACTGTATAGGAAACTCCTGAGCTCAGCTGAGGAAAGCGAACATATATTCCTACTCCAACACTGTATAGGAAACTCCTGAGCTCAGCTGAGGAAAGCGATTACATATATTCCTACTCCAACACTGTATAGGAAACTCCTGAGCTCAGTAGCTGAGGAAAGCGATTACATATATTCCTACTCCAACACTGTATAGGAAACTCCTGAGCTCAGCAGCTGAGGAAAGCGATTACATATATTCCTACTCCAACACTGTATAGGAAACTCCTGAGCTCAGCAGCTGAGGAAAGCGATTACATATATTCCTACTCCAACACTGTATAGGAAACTCCTGAGCTCAGCAGCTGAGGAAAGCGATTACATATATTCCTACTCCAACACTGTATAGGAAACTCCTGAGCTCAGTAGCTGAGGAAAGCGATTACATATATTCCTACTCCAATACTGCAACTAAGCCATGACTAAACTCCCATACCGCACCTCCCCTACTTGTATTAGCATTCATCTCCACTTCTTCTTGGGCCCTTCTACTGTCACCTCGCGAGGGTTGCAACACTGGCTGAGGTGAGCAAACATATCTCATAACCGTTGAGTCCTTCTCAATGTTGTTATCCGATTTTACATATTACTAAACTAGTCTGCGATACGTAGAATGCCACTATACTTTCCATATACAACCTAGTACTCACCGAGTTGTTAAGGCTTACACTTGTAGCTATAATTGCTTATCATATAACTACAATTATACTAGTAAAAATAACACGATTTCAATAGCATACGATATACCTTTTTTTTTGAAAAGTTCACCGTGTCACCAATCACCACCCAAAATCTACGCAACGATAAAGGTCAATTCCAAGTAAAATTCACTTTAATTTTACTTAAATTCACTAGACACAAATGCGCAGATTCGGACGATTTTAGTGACAGCCCCAAATCGCCTACCACCGTAACATACAAGTATACTATTAAAAGCAGTTCATACCACCAACAGCACGCTCCTCCACCCTAGTGAGTACTAAACTCACTTCGAAAAATCTCGTATCATCGATGTCCATACTAACTCCACTTAGACTCATCTTTTTCCGCAACGGTGTTCTCTTCCCCATAACATCTTCCTCGATAAAACTCCTCTGCATGCTCACCCACATATTCTTATCATTCCACACAATATCAACATAAAGATATCTAATTCGCGCACAGCGAAGATTTTCACTCCGTGTCACCTCAACTGAAAACTCACGGACACGGCTTCAACGGCTCCCCCTCGGACTCGTAGGCTGAATGAAAATAACAATGGAGTTTCACGGGCGGCCCTGGTGATATGAAAAACACTAGTAAAAAACATATTTCACGACTACTGCATATCACCGCGAATAATATCGCGTTTTTCACCGAGTATTACGCCGCTTCACGTAAAATGGGTGAAACTCCATTATTACAATAACAATAACAATAACAATAACGATAACAATAACAATAACAATAACAATAACAATAACAATAACAATAACAATAACAACAACACAGTACTACTTGGTTCCGTTTTAGTAGAGAACACCATCCCCGTGGAGGGCTCAATAAACATATCACATACCACACCTCGCGCTCCTTTCCGTACCATAACCCAACAATGTGCTCTTCTACCTTAACAACAACACAACCATCACCAACACTTACCGACGATCTCCTACCTATGAACTTAGAAGGCTGAGCTTCTTCGCCCTGGCCAGCAGCTGCATTCCCGAGTTCCTTAATATTCGCTGCTGTAGCCGCGATAGCGTCCATTTCCTCCTCCTGATAATCAATGTAATTCGTTATAGTAAACTTCACAACAGTCGAGTGTTGGAGTAGGAATATATCTTCGCTCTCCTCAGCTGAGCTCGAGACTTCCCAAAGTAAATTATAGGAGTTTATATTCGAATTCGCACAGAAACCAACAATGATTTCCTCACAATTTTCATACTGTCACCAACACATGTAGTTGACCATATGCATATTTTCCCCAACAACAGCAAATTACATCTTCCGTTAGTTCATCGTCCGAATCGCTCCTCTCTGCCTCATACGCCGCCCTTTCCTCAAGGAGGGCCTGAAGATCGGACCACCCTCGCAGATGCAATACAATATTCACTCCGCGGTAGTATAGTGGTGAGTATTCCTGCCTGTCACGCAGGAGACCCGGGTTCAATTCCCGGCCGCGGAATTTTTTCTCTACCTCTCTATTCTCCTCTCCCTTCACAAATTCGCTTTCAATTATAAACTTCTTCCCCAACGAGAAATCTTCACCTGAAAAAAACTCTTTTATTATTGGCGTATAATAAAATGCTAAACTTTAAACTGTAGAGCGTCGCTCCGCTGTGATCGAGACGAGACCTTTTCGAGAACATTTCATATCGATGAATTTTGAGAACATTCCGAGACTACAGTAGTACGAATTGTATACATTTTGACACGCCTCTCTCACGTGTTGAGTCCCTTCTACTCAAATTATAGTAAAAGTGCACAAAAACCAACAACATAAACAACAACATGAACAACAACATAAACAACAACATTAACAACAACATGAACAACAACGTGAACAACAACATAAACAACAACATAAAAAACATAGAAAAACATGTACAATAACAACAACATAAACAATAAATACAACATAAGCAACAACATGAACAACATAAACAACAACTACCCAAACTTTCCACAATTCATCCACTAAATCTGCCCTCAACTCACAATATTAACCCAGCAAACTAGAAGTCAAATTCATGATCAGATTTTCTATTCCCTTCCTAACCCTACCGAGTGACATAGCTGTTTCGTGTCAACGTTTGCATAAATTTCCCCCAAAGCTCCGACGGTGTTGCTATTTAGTGAATATAGCCTTTTCTACCACCGACATATTATTTGAATATATCACACATCAAATTTCCCTGTGAGAAAATATCCACATGGTCAACTACATATGAAAATACGAAAATTCTGAGGAAAATTCTTATTGGTTTTCTGTACACTTCTACCCTAAAATTATGAAAAGCTTTAAAAACTCTTGAGCTCAGCTGAGGAAAACAAACATATATTCCAACACTATGAACAGTTACATGTGTTGACGACAAAGTGAAAATTTCGAGCAATTTTTCGGGAATTTTTTTCGCATCTACACACTTCTACCCTAATTCTATAATTAGCTTTGAAAACTCCTGAGCTCAGTAGCTGAGGAAAGCGAACATATATTTCTACTCCGACACTGTTGCTTGCGACCATAAAAACACCACACGTGGGACCCACCAATAGTCTTCTCTGCCGATTCCGCCGATTCATTTCGATTCTCATCAATACTTCCACGATGATGCATTTCAAGAGACTCTGAGAAAAAAAATGTGAAAAAAACACATTTCACTTTACTAGTGAAAAAGGGTTGTGAAACTCCAATTATGAAGTAATACTAACACTCGATCACCTGAAATGTCCTCTTCCACCTCCTCAGTGGCGAGTTGTCTCAAATCCAACAAATCCACATACCTGAAATCAGTACGAGGCTTTTCTCAAAGAATTACATATATACCCTTTATTGGAGTTTCACCCGTAATGTGAAAAACACATTTCACTTCACGAAAAACGGTTGAAACTCCATTATATGAATATTCAATGATAATGTGTATTAATGGAGTTATCGATTTTATAACTATTATATTGGAGTTTCACGGGCGGCCCTAGTGATATGAAAAACACTAGTGAAAAATATATTTCACGACTACTGCATATCACCGCGTTTTTCACCAAATTTTACGACGCTACTTCACGTAAAACGCGTTGTTAAACAAAACCGATGGTAAAATCAGTTAACCTAGTATTTCATTGAGTGACAACGGCTGCTGTTGGATCCGCACAGCCTCGTCACCACGAATTCGGACCAGGCACATAATCAACTACATGTGTTGGTGACAACATGAGAATTCTGAGAGGAAATTTCGGCAAATTTCAATTGTTTCCCGCACAGTTCTATGTGAGTTTGTATATAAACCACCAACACTAGGAGGAAAATGAAAATATATTCCAAGTTGAAAATTTTGTCAGTCTTCCCGACTAATTATACAACTTCACACATGAATAAGGGGACATAAATCAACGAAAATTTCCCAGAATTTTCATATTGTCACCATTCGCATATTCTCAAGCGTATATGCAATTTAGTTTAGTAGTGTACAAAAAAACCAAGGAAAATTTTCCAATTTTTCCCCAAAAATTCCGGTAAATATCCATATTGTCTCACTTTTTTATCATTTTTTCTTCTTCAACTACCCCTGAACTTCCTCCTCCTTTTCTTTGCACCTAGTTTCACAAAAATCCCAATTTTAATATCACGGCCGCCCGTGAAACTCATTTTCAATTTTCCACGTATGTCTAGGAACACATTCTTCAACAGTCAGTTTCCCATGTAAGTGTCATCACATTAGAAAAAAAATTCCCTCATTATTATCAAATCCTGCGAAACGTTATTTTTAGGTCCCGGGTTCCATCCCTGGGAGCGGCATTTTTATTATTATTCATGTGTATATATTATTTCAACATTTATGTTTTTTTCCGGATTTTTTTCAATTCTCAAATCTAAAAATTCTCATCATACTTCTTCTAAGTGGAGTAAATCTTCATTCGGGCATTCACATTTTTTCAAAACTCTCCTTGTTATCCATCTAGGCGCGATACCCCCGACACAATAGGCATCGTAGCCCATACCGGTTAGGAGAGAACAGAGAACCTGAAAATTATTATATGATAAAAATTAATTTTCCTTATTGGAGTTTCACGTGAAGTGGTGAAAAACGCGATATTATTCACGGTGATATGCAGTAGTCGTGAAATATATTTTTCACTAGTGTTTTTCATATCACTAGGGCCGCCCGTGAAGCTCCAATATAATACTTTAAGTTTATATTTAATGATTATGAAATTAATAACTTCATTAATGCAAATTTGACTTTCACCTTAGTGATATGAAAAACACTAGTGAAAAACATATTTCACGACTACTGCATATCACCGCGGATAGTGTCGCGTTTTTCACAGAGTTTTACGACGCCATCTTACGTAAAACGGGTTGTGAAACTGCATTATATTGAATATTAGTAAATATATTGACCACATATCGTATTCACGATACCACACCTTTTCCAACTCACCACACTGATATCAAATGCATCTCCAGCTTGATAGAACAAAGTCGTGGAAGGAGAGCAAACGACCGCAGGGAACCTGTCAATGCTGCTACTACTACTACTACTACTACTACTACTACCACTACTACTACTACTACTACTACTACTACTACTACTACTACCACTACTACTACTACTACTACTACTACTACTACTACTACTACTACCACTACTACTACTACTACTCCTACTCCTACTCCTACTACTACTACTACTACTACTACTACTACTACTACTACTACTACTACTACTACTCCTACTCCTACTACTACTACTACTACTACTACTACTACTACTACTACTACTCCTACTCCTACTACTACTACTACTACTACTATTACTACTCCTACTATTACTACTCCTACTACTACTACTACTACTACTACTACTACTACTACTACTACTACTACTACTACTACTACTACTACTACTACTACTACTACTACTACCACTATTACTCTCCAGGATCCTTCAACTCTTCATAGACTATATGATCTGCCAGGAACTTAGCGCAGGCTCCAGCGTCGTATAATTCTGGATAGGCCTGTGGATAAATACAAGTATATTACCAGTAAAATTGCGTCATATATCAGAGTTTCACCCGTTTTACGCGAAGTGCATTGAAAGCACTTACCGTGAATAACACCGCGCAGCTCACCGCACTCAACGTGAAAAACTACGTCATTCAGCATCGTACGCCCATGAGTTAATACAAGTATAATTTCATAATTAATATACAAAACAACGACAATGCTTGCCTTAATGATAATTATTGGAGTTTCACAAACCCCTTCGAAAGTGGCGTAATACTGCATGTGAAAAACGCTGAAGTCATTTGAAAACTCCTCGCAGTCCACGTAAAACGTATCAGATGATCTACGCGTTATTCACTGCTCACATGCGTTTTTCACAAGATGAAATGCGATATGTGTTTTTTCGATATCACGGCTGAAACTCCGATAAACATCATCAAATCGCATACACTCAAAAGTTTTGATATACAAAAAAACACAAGTGGAAAAAAATTGACATTTCACTCCGCGAAAACCGGGTAAACTCTAACAATAATTTCACGCGAGTTTCAGAGTTTCACAACCCGTTTTACGTAAAGTGGCAAAAACCGGATATTCGCAGTGATATGCAGTAGTCGTGAAATATATTTTTCGTATCGCAGCCGCCCGTGAAACTCCATTATTACGAATATAACTCACAAAATAATGGAGTTTCACAACCCGCTTAACCCAAAGTGGCGTAAAACTCGATGAAAAACGCGATATTATTCGCGGTGATATGCAGTAGTCGTGAAATATGTGTTTAATCACTACCAATTTGAATGGTCGAATCGTCGTTGGCAGAAACTTCGGAACTCCAATTTCATTCGAAGGGCATAAATAAAGTTTCCTTTCCCCTCCGTACGTCTGCCGAAATTTAATCTCAAATTCTCTGAAAAACGATCATCACCAGAAAATATTCCAAAAATGCTCATCTCACTCAAGGAAGTGCATGAGTCGTTCCTCGCGCTTGGACGTGCTGCCATAGGAACGTAAAAATGGCGGCAGACCGGTCGTACCCGTCTAAGAGAAAAAACGGAGAATATTCTCGCAATGTGGAAAACGCGTTATTATTTGCGGTGATATGCAGTAGCCGTGGAATATATATTCTTCACTAACTCCAGTGTTGGGAAATAAGCTCATTAATTATAAAAGATTACATACGAATTCGGGTAGAAGTGTACAGAAAAAACAACAAGAATTTCCTCACAATTTTCATATCGTCACAAACACATGTGTTGGAGTAGGAATATATGTAATCGCTTTCCTCAGCTGAGCTCGGGAGTTTCCTATACAGTGTTGGAGTAGGAATATATGCTCGCTTTCCTCAGCTACTGAGCTCAGGAGTTTCCTGTACAGTGTTGGAGTAGGAATATATGTAATCGCTTTCCTCAGCTACTGAGCTCAGAAGTTTCCTATACAGTGTTGGAGTAGGAATATATGTTCACTTTCCTCAGCAGAGCTCAGGGGTTTCCTATACAGTGTTGGAGTAGGAATATATGTTCGCTTTCCTCAGCTACTGAGCTCAGAAGTTTCCTATACAGTGTTGGAGTAGGAATATATGTAATCGCTTTCCTCAGCTGACCATACGAATTCGAGTAGAAGTGTACAAAAAACCAACAGAAATTTATCAAAATTGTCACCAACACATAATGTAGCTGACCATGTGCATATTTTTCAACACTCTTATGAGTGATAAACTCACCTTAGGATTGATCGCATTGCCGTCACCCACAGCACCAGAGGATGACAACAACGAAGCCACTTTATGAGAGAACCTGCCACAGCAACCGGGTGTCAATTCGACATAATTCTGATCGCAGCTAATGATATTCCCATCATCATTATAAAAATATCGGTTTTTTTTCATAATCAGGATTACAATATCAAAATCACGCATCGCTGATACCAGAAATTATGAAAATGATCAAACTGAATCTTTTTTCAGACTCTATTGCACTTCATGTATAAGTATATTTTCTATATGTTATTATACAATGGAGTTTCACAACCCGTTTCACGCGAAGTGGCGTCGTAAAATTCGGTGTGTAGTAGTCGTAAAATATGTTTCTACTGCTGTTTTTCATATCACTAGGGTGAAACCCTATTATAGTATTTTGTATAACAAAAATTCTAAAATAACTCCAAAAATTTCCATCGTCACCTTCTGCATCGTATCTCCTTCAAAGTGAGGGTATCGTCGTCATCATCATCAACTTCAGCATTGAGTGTTGTTGCCTCCAATGGCTCGTTACCCGACAGGGGCTCTTCCGGTACCGCTCCTTCCTCAGTTTCTGCTGCTGCTGTTATCATGGATTCAACACTATTACTGAGAACAATCTGTATTGTCAACGGCTGTTTTACACGGGGGCAAAATATCCGAAAATATTCCCATAAACGTTCACGCTTCCAAAGGGTGGGGGCTTTGGAGGTGTCTCCCAACTTCCATGATAGCAAACGCAGTGTCGCGTGAGTAAAACCTGAGCGGACGAAGAGAGTGTCCCTCCTTCTACACGCAATTCTCACGCGTGCGTCTCGCACGCAGAACACAAATGGCTGTGCGCGTTCATGCAAGGCACAACACCGTGGCGTAACAATGTGCTGCAGTGTAAGTTAACGTGGTACAGCTTGGAAATATGCGCTGTTGAATGAGTGTCAGTAAAAACATCGTCACTGCGGATCGAACACGAGTACATTGAAATTTCCAATTTGGAAATGGGCACATTTTTGTGTGCGTCGATATTCTTGCGCGGGACATCAAGGATTTACCACGCAGTATCAAGATTTCCTCAGATCCTCCGTTAAGGAGTGGAGACGTGTACGGCGACGAATCACATTGTGACATCACGGCTTACGCCTCCTCGTAAGGGCCTTGATGATGTTGGCATGCGATGTCGGGACTTACTTCGATCAGCCGGCGCGCGCGGTGAATTGTGCGTTAAGATTCCACCATCTGTCTCCGGGTTTGCCAACCCCTCCGAGGTTTGCTGGGTGAAGGTCAACTCCGTATCTGCCTAATCTACTGCTCATCCGAAGGTCCGACTGACTTGATGTCCAAGCTTGAGTGGCGTATATATTTGCTTGTTTACCACAAATCGTCAAACTTAGCGAATGAGCATTCCAGTGGAAGAGAATGAGGGTCTAGACAGGTCCCTCCTGCGTTTTTTCCAGAGGAGTCGTTATGGAGTATCCCTTCAATGAAGGGATATGCGGCCAGGATATGTCAAGTGTCATGTCGCTCCTCACGGACGAGGTCGTTGCTGCGGTAGATATGTTCATGCTTGCTCTTGCTGGTCGAGCTTTCATCTGTGCTGCCTTCGCCACAGACGAGCCTCTCGGCGATCTCATCTTGAGGAGGAATGTTCGCTAGCCTTGGGTCTTTAATGATGACGTTCAACTCTACAGATAAAATTCCAAGTAGCTCGGTGACCCTTCAATGTATTCATTTTTCGGCACGGCCATTTCAGTCTTTCTAACGATGAGATTCCACAACGTTTGTATTGGTATCACTCTAATATTTGTGGTCGAGGCGGAGTATAAATATTACTGCGAATTCCAACTTCCTCTACTTGCCATGTGCGTTGGCAGGGAGGCGGGCGGGCCATGGAGGAGCTTGTCAATGCATGGCGCCTTGATCGATCCACGGCAGCCACATCATATTCGCTACAGAGATGATGAATGCATTGTCAAGGACTCCTCCAAGAGCGCAGCTGGAGGGTCTATTCGTGTGGACCCTCATTTGCCGTGTTCAATCGAGGGCATGCAAGGGAAGAAGATGTGTTACACAAAGAAGGTCGCTGCTCGCAGACCCACGATGCTTCAACTGACGGATTCGCACGGATACGATCTACTTGATGAACTCGAGAAACTGGAGCCCATTCACCTTCAACATCTGCGAGTTCCGGAATGCCAGTCAGCAGGCGAAACTGTGGCGACTTTCGTAAGCCACGAGCCTCAGCATTGGAAGGTTGAGGTCCAGGAGGAAGACTGCCCGCTCCCTCGATGGAGGTTGGGTAGATCTCTTGGTGGGAACCGTCACGTTCGACGGTTGAAGGCAATCTTCAGTATCGAAAGAAGCGATGGTACGTCACAGGTGGTGCCGATATTGAGAACAGTGAACAATGTTATGGAATTGGGTCCTAGAGAAGGCGCATCGAGAACTGAGGCATTCTTCTTCGAAGTTAAAATACGACGAGAACTTCATCAGGGTGTTATGATTACTTTTGGAGGGAAACCCAGGATGTTATTTAATACGACGATACGACCCTCGTTCATCCTTGAGTCTGAGTAAGCACCCAGTTAGTCATTGGTTTGGATGGACATCATTCAGTTACTATCCGTCTATGCGATATCCAAGTCGGTATCGACACTTTGTGAGGTGAGCTGTCCCTCATCTGTCGCAATAGTGCGTTCCGGGATATTTCAGGGCTCAGCTGGCTCCTCCTCCGCCGGGGCCTATACACGCAACACCTCCCAGGTGAGATGATCATTTCGTCGCTAAAGCGATGGGCTCATGCTCTTCTGGTCAGGTATGATGAGCTCGAACACACTGCCGAGAGCAGGGCCCGGGCGTTCGGCTTGGATGATAC